CTGTAGACCAATGCCTGTTGAATTTTACACCACTGAACTCTCAAATCTGTATTCATCTTAGTAACAAGGGGTTTATGCCATGCAGCCCTGCTACAATATCCCTCTCTTTGTAGGCGTGGATGGACTGTTCTTGCTGATACAGTCTGATCACGTCTTTCATTGACATTCTCACTAGAGGAACAGTTGCTGTTCGGGTTTTTTATAAGTCAAATAAGTCAAAGATAATCAAAACTAATGTTTTTTTTTAAAGTAGGCATTTGAAGTTTTGCGGTCATGCCGTTGTAGGTTAGGTCTTTTTTTTTCTGGTTTTCCTACAAAGTGTGCACATTTTTTGTCCTGTCATTGATTTGCAGTGACCCTTCCCTCTAAGGGGAGAAATGGGTGCAATCTATGCCAGCAAAGTGCCCAAACCCCAACTCCAACAGCATAACAGAGCACCACCATCAGTGAATCACTGCCCTTGAAAGTATGCCTTTGACCACAGTTTCCAAACCCATTTGCCCTTGTTTTCCCATAGATCTAGCTGCAAATATTAATTAGTTACCGTTCCTACTGAAAAGCTAGCCAGCTGAGCAGCCTGCAATCTGTGGCCCAATAATAAACACTCTTCAAAGTCAATTAGATCTTTTCTTTTGGCCGTGTTGATCCAAAGTTGAGGTAAACTGAGCCTGTTCGGCATTTTTATACCTGCCAGAGTCAGTTGAGCCACGTAGTGTGTCTGTCTGGAAACATTTATACTCATTATGATTCTCCACTCATTCAGATTTTTTCCTTCGTCACCTCTCTATGTATGGTTTATGATAAAATGGCCCATAAGTGCATACAAGTTAGATGTACCTCGTTGGGGCAACTTCGTAAATAAAAGAGTCTTAGCTCTTTCACCTCTTCCACTCCATGACTGCTGGGTATAATACCTCTCCAAACAGAGTAACATAGCAACCCTGCCCAAAATCTCCTTCTATTAAGAGGAGCGGAGCCATCAAAGGCCGTCACTCAGTGAGGATTTGTAGGGTTTAGTCACTGAGCTGTCCAGGCTGAAAGCACAGGTTCTCCCACACTGACTCTGTCTGCATCTGGGTTCAGTTGATCACACCAACTGCTTATGTATCTTTAGCACCCTGGTAGATAGAGCAAGCTTTCTGGGACTGTAGTAATTAGTTTCTTACGATAGGGATGGACACTAAAACTTGCTGCTGAAATGTTGCCCCCTATTTGAAGTGTGGCGTATGAATTCGACAGGTTGCGTCAGTTTACATATTCCTCCTTTAAAGGCTTTGGTGGTTTAAGGCAACAGTTTGAGTAGCTGGTGTTGCTTTGGCAGAGAAAGTAGAGAAAACCTATTTAGAGCTAGAGTTGCTAAAATGGGCAAAACACAGGCTACAAAATGATGCTCAACTTCAAACGTCTAATGACAAAAGTAGGTAAACTAAAAAAACAAAATGCAAAATTTAATGTTGCTTTACTTTGTTTATCAGGAAATGACATACAGTATACATTGTATACATTAAATTCAATCATATTCAGTGCTGTCATGCTTATAAAAAAACACAATTAACAGAGCTAACTGTATAGTAACTATGAACTATACATTATAGATTATACATTATAACTATGAACTAAATTATAGTTCATAACCTGTTATATATTTCCACTAATTGGCCATCTACCTTGTAGGTCCTCTATATGTGCACATTTTCAGACTGTAGCACCTGTGCACCTCTTGTCCAGCAATATAGCACTTATCAGCCCCCTATATCCTATTCATCATTTTCTGACCACAGGAATGCTGCTGACCAGGTATTAACTGGGGGGGTGGTCAGTTCTGAACACAGCAGTGACACTGACATGGAAGTTTGTGTAGCTTAGATATAAGTGTATAAGACATAGTGCTGGTGTTGGGGTCATGTCAATGTCACTGCTAGGTTAGGCAGTCCACCATCCAAAATATCTAGCCAATAGCCACTCTGTGGTAAGAAACTGATGACTGTTGAAGGACCAGGGAACGGCTAACACAAACTGTACATCAACAGATAAGCTACAGTATACCAGCAAGGTAGTACAGGGCACGGAGTTCTAATAAAATGACCAGTGATTGTATGTTATAATATACAGTACATAGACTGGAATATTATTAGGCTGAGAGAATACTGGTCATTCTATTCGATGGTAAGAATGTTAGGCAGGACGATTGGTAAGTGCTCTCTCGGGTTGCATGACCTGGGTCACAGGTCATAGATGGAAAAAAATGACAGCCTGTCTTAATTAACATTTTGCTGTACATTTTTTTCATGTAATTCTACATAGAAACACAAATGTGGTAGTGATCAAAAGTTTAGAACCCACACTTTCACCAACATTTGCTGCGTGTTTTAATGAGCTAGAAGATTAAAGGAACTTGCTTTGGTTATTGCTTTTGATTTGTAAATCCTAAGAAGGTTTTTTCCTGCTTAAATGGCCAGTACTGGCTCTCAGTTGTGGGTCTGGGTGTTCACATGTATAGAAAATGCGAGTCAGTGCAGTTGGACCCGGCAAAGCTAGTATTAGAGGTTGCACATTGCTAATGGCTTTTTCATATTTCCACACACACAGACTTGCCAGCACGCAGAAGGACTTTTCCACTTATATGCAATTCGGCAGCATTTTGCAGCTTTTGTGAAGAGTCTGTGTGTGCCTTAGACTTCACAGCACAGGAAAGGTATTTTATTGAATGTATTATGTTAATCTGATATAAATAAGTAAATAAATAATCTAGAACAGAGCTGACCAAAGTGTGGCAGTTTAGGCCAAAGTTCACCTGTGAACAAGGGTTAAATTGGGAATAGGCGTAGGAGTCCTATTTTTTCCATGGCGTTCTCCATGGGAATAATTATATGCACAGATATCATGAAAATGAAATTAAAATGAATAGCCCTTCTGTTTCTGTCTTAATGGCTTAATCACATCAATTCCTTTACTTGGCTGTTTTTAGTATTCCTTGTTTATCCTTTTTGGCATCAAAATTATATCAGTGTATGTCCCGATTCTTTTCTGAAAAAGATAAAAGTCAAACAAAAGCCCTTTCACTGGTAAAATGAACTGAACTGACATCAAGACTGCTGGTAGAGACAGTTTATACACAAAACTCGTGAATCGGTTCAGCTCTGTGCAAAATTTGACAATATTCTTCTCAAACTACTGTAAACCTTATATTCCTGCCTAACATCACTAATTTCAATCTACATTGAAGCTGATTAACAATATTCATCTATAAATACTTCTAGCTAGTTAGCTGCTAATGTCTACCTCTGAGTACATTAAGCAACAGTCATTTAGTAAAACAGTAGGTTAAACATCATAGTTATGTGGTGTTGCCAGGGTATTGCTAGGTGGCTGTTCTGGTATTCCAAGTGGTTGCTGGGGTGTTGCTAGATGGTTGCCATGGTATTACTAGTGGTTGCTAGGGTGTTGCTCATTGGTTATTGTGGTAGGTGGTATCTTAGGTGATAGCTAGGGTGTTGCTAGGTGGTTGCTATGGTGTTCCAGGTGGTCGCAAGGGTGTTGCTATGGTATTCTATTTGGTTACTAGGGTGTTGCTAGGTAATTGCTAAGTGTTTGCTATGACGTTCCAGGTGGTCACTAGGGAGTTGCTAGGTGGTTGCTAGGGTGCTGCTTTGCGGTTGCTATGGTATTCCAGTTGGTTCCTAGGGTGTTGCAAGGTTGTTGTTATGGAATCTCAGGTGGCTGCAAGGGTGTTGCTAGGCGACTGCTATGGCTGTCAATGTAACGTTAAAGTAGCCCACTTTACGAACAAATCTTTGGTTTAGGCTCCTTAGTATTGACCTAAGCGACAAAATTTAACAGGTTAGCAAAGCTTCTTTTAATGGGTTTCAAGAAGGCTCTGGCCCAATTTAACCTCTGCACAAAGAGATGCAGACTGAAGACACATCTCTTTTTACACTTAAGTGAGCACTAATAGAAATACTTATGCTTCTAGTAATATCTGAGCTCAGCAGTAGCTTTTACTCTAACCTTTGTATTTATTTATAGTATTTATTAACTTTGTACTAGCTAAGATTCTTTCTCTGAGTAGATAACAAAGCACTTTTGTAAGTCGCTAAATGCTATTAATGTAAATGTAGGACTTGGAAAAATAGAGTTACTGGCAACTCTTTTAGCTCATTTAACTGGTTTTGGTGTTTTAAAACACTTTTAGCTGCTAAATAACAGCCATTAGTGACAATATGGTATTGAGCAGTGTCAAGTATCTTATGTCATCTTACGATGTCTGGCATAGACTATTTATACATATTCTTTTGAATATTCTTTGTTTTGCTTTAGAAATATGTTATGCATGTGTTATGAAGTCTCTATGCAGGTTACCACATACAGTAATGTACTGATGTACTAAATTCAACAACATTCATTACTGGTGAAGGAGTTAAACAGGGGAATTAGCTTTCCACAGAGGAAAACATAATTAGGCCTCAAAAGCGAACGTGCCTCAGTGACACCTCTGGAAACACTCTCTTAGAAGGATTTCATGGTGTGTGTGAGCACAAGTCTGTGTGTGTAAGTGTATTTCAACGGTGGGTACATCCATCTGTGTGTGAGCAGATATGATTGTGAGATTTGTTTGTGTGTGTGTGCATCTAAGTGTGTACAGTACTGTGTAAAAGTCAAAGACGATCCTTCATTTATTTAATTTCCAGTTAAAACAGCCAGTCATTACAAGTTGTCAGGCCAATATTTCTTAGGAAAAAAGTTAAACATGTACTTGAAGGCCGTTTTCACTGGAAATGAGACAAACAAAGGACGGTCTCTGACTTTTGCGCAGTGCTGCATAGAGGTCTCTGTGGTGAGTAGTACATCCTTCTGTGTGTACGAGGCTTCTTGCTTTCTCCTCCCCTCTCTCTCTCTCTCTCTCTCCCTCCTTCCATGCGTAGTCTGGGCGCCCTGCCAAGTGGAGTGTGTTTTTTGAATGAATACCTGATGAGGCTGCTGCTGAGGCTGACTGGGGGGAGGAGGAGGAGGAGCTGCATTCAGTAGAGCACTGAGCATGTGTGTATGCGTATGTGAGTGTGTGTGTGTAGAGGGAGAGCGAGAGAGAGAGAGAGAGAGAGAGGAAATGCTGGCAGTCCCGTTGCCTTGCATAACATACGCTGAGCCTCGCACACATACGGGCTTCATGTGAGACGGCCCCCAGTAAAAGAAAAGACGGGGACTTCCTTCACCCTCGACCCTCCGGGACGACCGCAGAAGGGAGGAGGGGAGAGCGGAAGAGACCAGAGAGGAGGAGAGGAAAGAAGAAGGGAAGAGAGAGGAGAGGAGAGGAGAGGAGAGGAGAGAGAGGAGGAAAAAGGGGGCCAAGCACCGGACATGGAGGTGATCTGTGGCAGCTTTAAACCTGGACAAAGGATGGTTAACCAAGGGTAGAGTGCTTGTGCACTTGGCAGAAAGAGAGAGAGAGAGAGAGAGCGAGAGGGAGAGCAAGAGAGCTAGAGATGTTGGCTCCACTAGAGGAAGGTAAGGCTCCTCACAAAGGAACCCTGACACTAGAGGATGTTCCTTGTGTTTATTTGTGGAGCACTTGTCTGTGTGATTCTATGATACTGCACTACAATGTAATACATGCTATGTGATGTAATGCTTTGGCATTGAGAAGGATTCTGTCATGTTATTACAATGTTATTAGCTGTGAACTGGCGTGCAAATGTGTGTTTTTGTGTCACTTCTGTTCGTTTGTGCAGCTTTTGCTCAGAGAAAGAGAGAGAGAGCGAGAGAGAGCGAGAGAGAGAGAGAGAGAGAGAGAGAGAGAGAGAGAGACGTGCAGAACAGCAGCCTGTAGTCATTGTAAAGCAGCAACAGCTCTGTTTGGATTCATGTCTAGCTCAGGACTCCCCAGCCCGCCTCTTAAAGGGACAGAGCGTCTGCTGGAAAAAAAGGGTCGTAAAGGCACAGGGAGCACTCCAGAAAGAGAAACGAACCCTTACATTTCAATATGAAATGTATTCATGTTTTACTACCCAATGCTGTCTTTTTAGTGCTTGATAGTGGCTGAGGTCATGTTGAAGGGTAGTGCTCGATTCCACTCCGTCTGTTCATTCATTTCTGAGAATGACATCATATGGTTTGGCGTCCCCATGATTGTAGCACTGCTGGACTAGTATGTGCTGGACTAGGGCTCCAGGATATGAACAACAATAACAAACACATTGCGATTGCATTGCTGTGATTGGCGAACCATTAATATGACATCTGAGCTGGATGCTCACAATATGCATATGGCAAGCCTTGCTGAGACAATATTTCAAAATGCAGTATCGCACTAACGATTAACCGGCCTGATGTGCACAGTGGTTGTGAATGCATGCATGCAGGAATTAGTGCAGGGAATGCACGAATGCAAGATTAGAATCGGCAGATTTTAACACATAATCGACAATCAATGTAAATAACATGAGGTAGTGTGTTGTGGATGCTCACAGCACTCAGTAAAACATTTGTTTGCATACTGCAAGCCTTGCAAAATGCAGTATCGCAATAATAATTAATAAGCAATATATTGTGCAGGTCTGACATGCACAGTAATTGTGAGTGCATGCTTGGATAAATTAACGCAAGGAATGCACGAATGCAAGATTGGAATTATTGTGTTTTTGGCCGATCCGGGCTGCAATTTTATGCCATAACTAACATGAGTCAGTATGTTCTGGATGCTCACATCACACAATAAAACATTATTTATTGGAGGGTTTATTTGCACATTGCAAGCTGTGATAAGACACTATTGCAAAATGCAGCATCGCAATTAAATGATTAATAAGCGATGTATTGTGCAGGCCTGATGTGCGCAGTGATTATAAATGCATATGTGCAAGGAATGCATGAATGCATGATTTGAATCCCTCCAAACACAAGATCAGCCAATTTATTATTTTGATTTTGGTCTATCTGTGTTGCAGTTTTATGATGGAAGTAACATGAGGCAGCAAGTGCACTCATGCTTTATTTGAATAGAGCTGCTACACTAGTAACAAAATGTTGGGTAATACTTTATTTGAGCCTTGCTACATAACACTGACATAAGCAGGCCATAAACATGTCATGACAGATTATGTCTAATAATGTAACAATGTAATGTTACCATTACCTGTAATTATCATGTGTAATGTTTGACGACTAAACAGCATACAATTTATTAGCATGTGACATAAGCTATCATGACATCAAACATTATGTCTGTCATGACAATTGCCAGTAATGGTAGTATTACACTGTTATATAGCTATACATAATCTGCCATGACAGTATATGACGTCTGCTATGACATGTTGATGGCATGTCAATATTATGTAGCAGCATTCAAGTAGTGTTATCAAAAGTTGTAGCATATCGCTGTTGTCGGAAGAAAACCTTGTATCTCCAAAATGATAACTTAAAAACCTACTTTACTTTTAATGTGAGTCAAAGAAACCAGACTTTTTTCCAAGTAATTTTGGGCCGTTTCTTATGGTCCATTCATCATGAAATTTACATACAATGTAAAAAAGTAACGGGCATTTTCAAATTATGTCAAAAACTGAAAAACAACAAAAATGGAGAGGGTCAAATGAGGGCCCACAATCCTCACTATCATAATGAGTAAATCAAAAGACTATAGGTTTACAGTTTAAGCTATTTTATGTAATTATATTGCTAGAGAAATATCTGATGAATCATTTTCCATTGCATTGGTGAAATGGCCACTAGGAGGCCTGCACAAAGGGGTTAAAGAGCAAATAATGTTATGTATATTGCAACTTTAGCCTATAGAAAGTGTTAGTGCCAGTATGTTTCATATGTTTCTTTAGCCCACACAGTGTGAGCTTCAGGATAAATACAAATTTTGGACCAGAAAAATCAGCCACTGGCCAGTTTGCCTGGAAAGAAATCAGAATCAGCCATAAACAAGCTTTTTAAAACTATAAGTCGAGGTGCAACTGTTGTGTAGTGTAGTGTAATTTCCATTTCATTTGCATAGTTAAGCCTGTGCTTTGGCTACTGAAGCCTGAAGCCCTGCAGAAACATGTCTCTATGTGTGTGCTAAAAGAAGCATGCACTTGTTTTTGTCTGTGTGCATGTTTGTGGGGGGCCCGGCCGGCTATCTGCAACAGGGCAGCAGTGTGTGACGGGCTGGTGTCGTCGGAGCTGGAGTGATACTGCAGCGTTAATCTCTATGACCCCTTGGCCACCCTGCATGTGAAAGTGTATGTGTGTGTGAGAGAGAGGGGTGGGTGGAGTCACCACAGTTGAACCATCTGCACTTGACATGAGCAGTAGTTCTGGGAAAGTCAGCACTTCACTGGGAGACAAATGAAGACCAGGGATGGGTCATGGTCCTGCAAGGCCACTGGCCACAAGGCAAAAATTTTTAACAATAGCCCATAGTGAATAAACAATAAATAAAACAAGGACTGAAAAGGGAGATTAAACTGTGGTTCACATTTGTGTCCATGTGCACTTTCAGCAATACAGCTTTAATAACAAGCAATATTAGCTTTAAGATTTCACAGTTTCCTCTATTATTTTAAGTCATAATCCAAAAGCAGAAGTAATCTAAGGATAAATGCTAACACTACTATGTGGACAAGCATTTTGTGAAAAATTACATTTGAATGGTAACAACAAAAGTCCATGAGTTGATTATTTTCAAATTTGAGGCTCCAACAGAGAACTATCTGAGAGGAGATGTAGCCTGTGTAGGGTCCAATAATTTGTAGGTTACACTACCTGGAATACTATAGCAATGGCGTACCAACACCTCAGCAACCACCTGGGATACCACAGCACTGGCCTAACATTTAGCAACCACCTGGGATATCATAGCAACATCCTAGCAACACTTCAGCAACCACCTAACAACACCAAGCTGGAATACCCTAGCAACCTCGTAACAATACCATAGCAACTATGTAGAATTACTATATAGACCCAACAGCTTTAACTTTTGAAGGATTATTGGCTGGTTGATGAGCTGCCAGTGAGCAATGAGGGGTTACAGCTGAGGGGTAATAGGTTTTGATATGACACCAACAATTTATTTGGTTACACTGTAGTAAATGTAGTGCTGCAGGCTAACATGCTAATGAGTCAAAGAACATACCATACCATAAGTTATTTTGGGTCATTTCTGGTGGTCCATTCATCATGGCATTTTAACACAATGTAAATTTCAGCCATTGTTTTTTTCATATTCATAGTATATATGCTACTTGTACGTCAAAGAACATGAGTGGGTAACGGAACAATATTGATATAATTGATAAAAAAAATATCACATCATATCACAATATGCTTTTCTAGTACCATCTGTAATTAAAGAACACTTACCAACTGTGTCTTTCATTACAAAGGAAGCATAAATAGGCCTTAATTACTCCAGTGCATTATGTGAAGTGGGGAATAAAAACAGTTATAATCATATTTTTAATGGTAATTTTAAACATGGCACTGTTTTTAGGTTGTCTGTTCCAACTCATCAAAGCTCAGGTAAAATAAATATCATGATACATATTGTATATCAGGAAAATGTCTTAAAATGGTCTTTTTGCCATTTCACCTACCCCAAAAGAACATACAGTGTGTTCACACATGCTTCTTTACAGTCATAGTAATATAATGCATGCCTCCATATGTGCCATATTGTATTTAGTATGGTGGCAGCTGTATAGCGGTATGTCTTGTTTGATGTCTTCTGCTGTGTGAAACACTATGACTTTGAAGTATTAAGCCGCATGTCTAGCCCAGTGATGTATCCGCTATCAATCCATTGTTCTTTGTGTGATGTGCATGCTGCAGTGTGTGCACTACAGTTCACACCAATGGTGTGTGTGTGTTTTGTATTTCTGCATGCACAAAAGACCATAGAGTACAGAGTAGCCTGACTGTGCGTAGCGTAAGCTTTAGCAAAGGAAAGTGGGACAGTGATTGGTGCAGATCTACAGTGACTGGGGAATCGCTATCTCTCTCCCCCTCCCTCCCTCTGTTTCCAGCGTTCCTCCCTCACTCCATAACGGTGCTCGCTGCAGGCAGTACTCAATGTGGGTCAGGAGAGCCAATGCTCTTCCTCCCTCTTGCTCTCCCTCTTTATGTCTCTGTTGCTGTCATGTTTTTCTACATCTGCCTTTCTCCTTCTCTGGCAAGGCATAAGTTAGATTTTTACTCCCTTTGTTGCTTTGTTTACCTGTTTCTTAAGGACAATGGTCTAGTGCTGTGTTTACACATAGTCCAGGTACTCCTATGTCTGGGAAAAGCATGACCACGTGGAAAGGAGGGTCACTGGGTTCACACGTCCAGGCAGTTTATTGCACTCTTTATTCCATTTACACACACGTACTGGACATACAAACATAGATACAGACAAATGAGTATCCACCGAGTTGCCGCTGAATTAGGTGCATCTTACCATACACAGTACTGTGCAAAAGTCAAAAACCACCCTTTAAATTACAGTAAAAATGGCCGGCCATTAAGCACAAGTATGGTCATGGGAGACACATTCGAGACACATGGAAATCCCACATGTATATGACTATGTCTTGCTGTCCACTTGTGATCAGATCACTCAACATGGATGTTAATATGAAAAGTATGAAAAGGTCAGAGAGAGAAAGCCAGACAGACCCGGTACCAAAAGAGTAATTACGATTTGTCCTTTTTTTTCTGATAAAGGTACAGACAGCCAGCACTAAGCAGGAGATGCTTCTACAGGAAGACCTTGGGGACAGCAACAATAATTTTCTGCTCCAACGCCTAATCTCATCTGTTTGTTAAAAGGAACGAAAGAGGCACAAAAAAGACAGACTGTGGAACAATGGACTTCTTGACAGGCAAGTCTTACTTTTAAACCAAAACCAGACTAGTAGAACACAGCAACTGAGGAGCCTAAAAATCATGAAGTCCAACCAGGAGCGCAGTAATGAGTGCCTGCCTCCAAAGAAAAGAGAGATCCTGGCACTTGAGGAGCGACAGGTGCTGGTAGCATCAACCATGAGTGAGAGCCAGAGTGGGGAGAACCTGGCATGGCTTGCTAGTGTAGCCAGCATGGCCAGCATGGCCACTGTTCCCAACCATGTTCCATCACGGAGTAATACAGCCCATGTTGACAGCCCTTCACCATCAGCCAAGGCCCCAACTGCAGTAACAGAGTATTTACCAGAGTCCACCTGTGCTTCCACCAGCTCTTTGTCATCTTACAGAAACTCCACACCTAAAGGAGGTATCTCTGGAGCTGCCACAATAACAGCCAATCCTGCCATGCTCTCCTCCACCTTTGCTCAAGCTGCAGGAACCATCCAGCACGCCCAGTTAGCACCTAACCTACAAATTATTGGACCCTACACAGGCTACATCTCCTCTCAGATAGTTCCACCTTCAGCAAGTCCATCTCAATCATGTAGACCCACCCAAGAAGTCTATGCTGCCACAAGTGTAATCCCACAAGCTTCTAATGAAAACTCACAGAAGCAGCAGATGATTTCAACCTTGCCTACCGTAGCCCACACCACCAGCCAGTGCATCCAGGTAGAGGGTGCACCTGTTGGCTTGACAGTCACCTCCCCAACTTCCCAAGTGCCCCTTCAATTGCATCCCCATTCAGCTGTCCTTGCCCCTCATGGCCTAGCCCTTGCTCCTTCCCAAGTGCTTGTCCATTACACTGACGGCCTTGTCACAAAACATTCTGACTCCCAAAGCAGAGATTTGCAGAATGGTGTTCTGGGAGAGGTCACAGTGGTCAAACACAGCACTAGTGTGGTCAAGGGAATCTCTAGCAAGCCAGAAAGTAATGAGAGCCAAAGGCAGAATCAGAACCTGGGTCTCCAGGCCCAAACTCAGGTCTTACTCCCTGCTGAGTACACCACGCATGACAGTGCAGGATTTCAGACATCACTAATGCTGGTGTCAAGCAACCACCTGGTGGCCAATAATAGTACTGAGCTTCAGAGCACCCTGGATAAAGACCAATCATCTCTGGCTCATGTTGAAAGAACGGGACTATCTATGGTAGAGCCAGTCTCCAGAGTTTCCTCTCTTACTCTCTCATCTTCAGATGGTCTGGCAGCATCTCTAGCTTCAACTCTCTCCCCTCAATCCCTCCTGCAGACATCCCCTGGTGCCCCCGCCCAGGAACTTTCCACAAGCCTTTACTCAGCCACACAGCTGCCCATTATAGGCTACATCACCAGCACATCCGGGGGACCCCAGCAAGCGGTGGCTAGTTACCATAGCAACCTCCCACAACATCTAGTGATCTCAGGCAGCCCCTCCCTCCTCATCCCTGTGAGTGCTGGCAACATTAACACGTCACCTGCTGAACCAGAGGTTACTCACTGCTCCATCCCCACCATACCCCCTGCCAATGTACCGACTGTAGCTTCAGGCCTACCTCAGGCCTACATCACTGCAGCCACACCCACAGTTGCAGCCTCTGTCCTCCCCAATGGTAAAGAGATCAATGGACCTGAGGGTCATCATACAACAACTGCAATACAGAGTTCCACCCAGGTGCAGCTGCCCGTCTTTTCAGCAGGTGTGGTGGCACCTCCACCTCCTGTGCTCACCCCAACACCCACAAGCCCTCAGAATACACCCCTTTCTCCATCAACAGCCTTGCCTCCATACTTTATGAAAGGCTCTATCATACAGCTGGCAGATGGGGAGCTTAAAAGAGTGGAGGACCTGAGGACAGAGGACTTCCTTCAAAGTGCAGAAGTTAGTGGAGAACTGAAAATTGACTCCAGCACAGTTGAGCGGATAGACTCCAGCAGGACACCTGATGCAGTCATCATACAGTTCTCAGTTGGAGAACACAAAGCACAGGTATGTCATATTGTTTTGTAGAGTCATACGTTTTGCAACTACAATCAAATATGGGGCAAAGTTTAGTTGCAGAAGAACATCATTGGTTAAAAGTCCTGTTTTTGTGTCTTCTCCATAGGTATGTGTGGAAGTACTGGTGGAGTACCCTTTCTTTGTGTTTGGTCAGGGATGGTCATCCTGCTGCCCAGATCGCACGACTCAGTTACTGGCACTGTCCTGTGCTAAGCTCTCTGTGGGTGATGTCTGCATCTCCCTTACCCTGAAGAGCCTGAGGAATGGTGCACTGAGTAAAGATCAAACCTTTAGCCCTTTGAAGAATCACAATAACATTCATCTGAAAATAGCCAAGACCAATGGACAGGCTGGAGAGAGGCCAAATCTGAGGGAGGATCAGAGGAATGGAAAGATTTTCAGATCAGTTGGGGAACAGAAATTTGAAAGCCCTGAGCTTGAGAGTCTTAACTCTGGGAAGGGTGTGATCCTCTCAAAGAATGGGGAGGGCAAAGCTCATGCTGCAGTGAGCCGCAAGAGGAGGTGGTCTGCCCCAGAGAGGGGGGAGGTGGGGAGGTCACATGAGGGTGACCTCCCTGAAACTCTACCCAAACTATCCTTCCTCTCACAGGAGATAAAGGTAAACATAGAGGGAAGGTCCAGTATGGGCTCCTGAGATCTCTCCTGACTCCCTGAAGAGGCAAGGGTGACTGTGATCCAGTGTTTAAATAATTCAAATTATGAAATGACCCCCTCTATTCAGTTACTTGTGATGTTGGCTGGTGACAACCATTGTCTGAAAACTATGTGTCTTGTCCACTGGACAAACAAGATACTCTGATCCCTTAGTGACCCTTGCAGAGAACTTTCTTCAGACATAAACCCATAAATGCAGCTGGACAAGTATGACAGGATTTATTTTTGAGATGATTAGTTACCTTCTCATAATAGTTTTCTTTTTTTTAAGATGAATGTTACATAAGCTAATTTTGTGTGACAGTATTTACAGTATGTGTTTTTTGTAATAAAAACATATAGACATAGTTTCTGACAACTGTGTTGGGGCATAGATATTGAGAGGGTCCTAATTTTTGTTTTTCAATAGTTGTTTTTTTAGTTAGTTCTGCCCTCATGTATTTTTTAAACTTAGTCTACTTTCTTGTTAAGTGTAGCATCATTGTTTTGAGTCTTTATCAGTGGCTTGAATATATGTGGACCAATAGGTTGGAGTAACTGTTAAAAATACAGGATTTTCTGGGATGAATTTGGCCAATTTGAAATCTTCACAGCTAAATTACTATATATCTATATGATTTACTTTATATCTATATCAATATATAATTTAAAATGGTCTCATAATCACGTCCTGCATAAATAATGATCTTTGTGCAATTACTGTTGAAGGATACCAGATTGATTAAAGCATTTAATTTTAGATCAGTGAATTCCATTAATTTAACAAAATTTCTGATAATTCAAGCATTGAGATGTAAACAAAGTCATTAGAGTGGTTTGATGTGGCATGGTGCATTGTAGAGAAACAACTTACAGCTTTCTGTGACTCTCTCCAGACGTCAAGTTCCTATCACAACCATAGTGAACAATTGTGACTCTGTAAGTTTCTCTAGAATGAAACATTTCACATCTAACCACTCTGATTGAATTTGTTTACATCTTAATGATTTAATTATTTAATAATCCTGTGTAACCTTTTGTTGAAGCTCACTGAAGCTGCATTTAACTTTTTTGGTAACCCACACGTAAGGCTGTGAACATTTCCAGCACTTGTGGTAAAAGCTAAAACTAAACTTAATCAAAAACATAACTAATGTTAATCATCATTATTTCTATCAAACCCGAGACAAAAATAGAAATATAACATTGAGTATTACATAAATACTTCGGAGTTGAAAAAGTCCTCATGATATGCAATATTAAGATTATTCACATACCTCATATATGACACAAGGCTGTTTCAGATAACCCAATGGGATCTGCCATGTATGTAATGGACAAACATCAAACAAACATACTCATGTTCATGTAGTGGATATGTGCAGGCAAATCCTCACTCAGCCCTTGAATATTAGCACTTTACAGAAGGCATTGGATGGTTAACACCCTCACCTCTGATATGTTGCCTAAGCAACAGACATTTGCACAATGTAGAGTTTTGAATATTGTCAGCCATCCTGTGCATTTCAGCACCATTTGAAACCCAAAACACCCCAATCACTTTATTGCGTCACTTGTGTGATTTCGTGCCATTTGAAATCCAGTTGCTCTGTCACCGTCAACCTTCAGCATCATCTGTAAGTGTTCTAGTAATGATAAAATGCTTGTGTGGTTGTATTTAAAACAACTGGATTTGATTTATGTACACATTCTGTATGTAATGCCTGTCTTAGACTTGAGGTTAGGCCTATTCCGGAACCATTCATAAAATATAAACAGTTGTTTTTCTTTTTTGGGGGCTTTCCGTGAAGGTTTAAATGACCTAGCAGTAGGCCTGTCACAATCATAAAATCTGAAAAAGTTTCCAAATTGGCCCATTAGCTATCTTAATAATTTTTTTTATTAGCTCCAACCTGATGACAAAAACAGCTAAAGGTGTTATAGCACCAGTCAGAAGTTAGAACGTTAGTTGTTTGTTTTCTATTAATTTCATACATTTGCCTCAGCCCAATGGATAAAAACATACCCATTTCACACTCTTTTGCAACATAAATATATTAAAACTACCTCAAAAACAATGCAAAAAGACACCTCTACAATAATGCTAATTTCTGCTAGCACCACATTTGGATTCTAGTAGTATGTTAGCGCTAAGCTAAGGGCAGTTCACACAAACAGTTTTTGGCTGTTCTAGATTAAACACAGACATTTGAAGCTTGTAAAAGACATTTCATGTTTCATTTGTAGCTTATAACAGACACATGAACATATATATTACCTAGTAGCAGTTTTACAGTGAAGTGTGCTGTTTTACAGTTCAGTAATGCATCCTGAACTTCCAGAAGTCCTATAGTTGGTCCCATTGTAAACCCAAATGTGATCAGTTGATTCTTTAATTGATAAAGATTTAAACATCATTGTGAAAGCTAAATGTAGAAAATAATTGCTGTCAGCCTTACTAGTTATGGTACTGATGTAATAATTGTGACAGGCCTACTCAGTAGCAGCTAAAGACTGATGATGGTGAATTAAGGAAAAGGTGAGACATCACACAACATAAAAAGAACAAAGTAGTCATTTTTCTAATTTACGAGAAGAAAACCTGTATGTGTAATTTTCCTAGAGGCTTCTTATACTGGGTCAAGCACACAATTACCAAAATGTTCCACAGATACTTGACGCCAACTCATATTGATGGGCAATATTTAAGAAGGTTTCATTTACTTTTCAGTAAAAAAAACAGCCTATTCGGACTCACTTTGGGTACATTTTGTGGCACGCAGTCACAATGTACAACACACACAACTTACAGTAATTGAGAGTGCTAATTATGAGAAGAAAGCTATACTCTGTATACCAGAATTTTGCTATTTGCACAAGTAGAGATATTAAAGTAGGTGTGTGGAATGTATGTCTTTGCCTTTGGGTTCTCTCTATCATTGTTTTCTTCAAGTCTTTGAGATGTTAGCGGGGTGGAAAAAGTAGAGACAACTATACTTCAGTAAAACATGTTTTTTCTTTTGGAAATTAAGTACAAGTGAAGCAAATGTCAGTTGCACACCATGACTATCAGAGCAAGGCCTTCGAGCCTAAGTTCGAGCCTTAAATGTCAAACCTCTCTCAAAAATCAAGGATCTCTGCAATAATGCCAATTTGTGATAGCGCACCAATTGGATTCTAGTATGTTAGCACTAAGCTAACAGTGATTCACATGAACTGTTTTTGGCTGTTCTAGATTAAACACAGACATTTGAAACTTATAAAAGACATTCCATGTTTTATTTAAAGTTTGTCGCAGAAATATTAACATATATTACTATATAGCAGTTTTATAGAGACTCCTGGCGTAGAGCTGCTGTTGTTTACCATGTCAAGGAGGAGACAGGTCTCTGGTTAGAAAATGAATGGGAAAGCTTGTAACACTCAACATGCATTTGTTTATAGGGAAAGTCCTGCCCTTCAATAAAAAGCCAATCAGCTTGCTGGTTATGCCGTGAGTGGAAAAAGCCAGAAGAACATAAAAACACATGTTTTTGTATATTATTTGAGCCAAACATTATAAACTATTTGTGGGAGTTTTGTCAGATTTTATCAGTAATTTCGAATATATTTTTGAAGCAGTAATCTGGCCATTCAAAGAGAGCCTGGAGTCTGCCCAGCTGAGTTGCCAAGATGGCTGCCGAGTAGACAGAATGATAAGAGCCCTGTTTCAATTCTCTTTTTTAATTTTCCCTCACCCCCTTCAACTCACCACTCAGTGCAGAAGGGGAGGAGGCGACAGTGAGTTGTGGATTAACCCGCCCTTGGCTAGTCTCAGTGAGCTAATATGCTAGTCATGCAAACTTTGCAATGCTACATATTGTTAAGAGGTTTGAGCATAACGTACATAATGTGTGTAGTTGCTTTGTTTGGCTATAAACATGTGGAGGAACTGTGGTGAATGCCTTTCTTTTTGTTTTTATTAGCCATCTCTCCTTTAGCATGCTAACAAGCCAGCTAGCAGAGGAAAGTGATGAAGTATCAGTAACCATGTATAACAGATGGAGTGGTTTGCAACCAGCGTATCGAATGTCATGGTTTTGAAATGTTAAGTAGTTTATTGCTATAGCTTATGAACAGCTCTGACCGCCATTAGTTTCAGGTTTGAAAAGGGAAATGCGTCAGGTGGCAATGATTTCTGGGCAAGTTCTGCTGCTGAAGTTGACACTGTAAATTACAGTAATGGAACAGCCTTAAAATGGTGCTTGGGATTCCCCCAAGGGGAAATGATGAGGTCAGGTGGACAAAGGCTTGTTAATTTTTTAAATTCATAATCATGTTAGTGGATAATCTGACACAGCCTTCAGTTCAGCTTGTGAATTTTAACTAATGGCAGAGCTTGCTTGCCTGCCTAGATACTGTGGAGAACAAACTCCTGATTGGGTCATTTACCGCTGGGCGTTTGGAGAATGTAACCCTTTTGTTTCCAACCAAAATGAAACAATGAAAGTATTAGAGAGTATTAGTACAAAATGTAAAGAGTTTAAATTCAACAAGCATTATAATTATATCGCATAAAAATTAAGAAAAAATGGCAGACATATATTTTTTTATTTGACAGAAATCATTAGGCCTTCTTTGTTCACTGCTCACTTTCAATAATACTACAGTATAACTCTTCCAAAACAATACTTAAGTATAGTAACAAAGTACATTTTTCCTCCCCTGTTTAATAGTCCATTTTTGTTCAGACCAAACATTTTCATGTGATTTTGATTAGATGATCGCAAACGTCATGTTACAGAAGCAAAGCGTGATTGCACATTTAGCTGTCTAGGGTGGGTTTCTAGCACTTTTAACAATGTGTGTACGTTTCTGTGTGTGAGTGTGTGTGTGTGTGTGTGTGAAGAGAGAGAGTAAGTGGGCAGGACCAGCAGAAGTGTACGAGGGAGAGTGATGGTCAATCCATAGTCATGGGTGACCTCTTCAGAACAGTGTAAAACTAGCATTCCTAAATCATGCAACTGAATCGTTTGATGTTGTTATGATGGTAAAAGGCCTGGTGCTATGATATTAGAATAGAAGCCATCTATATGAAAAGTCTGTTTGGTAACATTTTACTTGAAGCCTACATAACACTGACATCACGATGCCATACACAAGTCATAGCAGATCTTGTATGCTGACATGAGTTGTGCTGGCTGATTATGTATAGTAATATACATAATATCTAATATCTATTATAGAAGTAATATCTGGCATAACAGCATGCGTCAGCATATGACATCTGCCATATGTTTATGGCATGGTTACATCAACATTGTGTAGCGGGGTTCAAGTGCTACTGTCTCTAACTGTCTCTAATGTCAGTTGTCTGTGTTTGTAAACCTTTTCATTTCGTTTTAGTTGTATTCTGTGTGTCAACTGTATCTATATGGAGAATGTCAGGGAACATATTCTGGTTTTGACTTACTGCTGTAGACGTTCATTAAAAGCATCAGTATATCGTTGCTGTTGGGCCAAAATCTTGTATCTCCATTTTTGTTCTTTCTCATTTTTCAGTATAAACTAAAAATACCAGCTGCTCTTTGCACTCTGAGAAAGTTTAATAATGAATGGACAAAAACAAATTGTGGTCATATACTTCCATTATAAGTTATGAATGGTTTTTCCTTCCCCTGAAAAATACCCATTTGGAGATACAAGGTTTTTGTCTGACAGTGACGATATGGTAATATCTGACTAGTCAACAGCGCCCCAGTGTAACCAGTGTAAATCGTACACTATGTGTCCAAAAGTTTGTAGACACCTGATATTCTGAGGGTAATTAGAAGGAGTTAACAGCAACTTGGTCGCCCTACTACTACAATTTCTATTCTTCTGGAAAGGCTTCTCTCTAGATGCTGTGAGAATTTGATTGCATTCAGCCACAAGAGCATTAGTGAGGTCAGGTACTGATGTTGGATGATTAGTTCTGGATCACAAACGTCACTCTAGCTCATCTCATAAGTACTGGATGGTGCTCTAACACAACAGAACGGAGCTCCACTGCTCCACAATCCAATGCTGCGTGGACTGCATTGGTCATGCTGATCTTAGGCTCAGGTGTGGCTTCTCCAGAGCATCCTAATCTACTGGCAGCGCTTTTCTACAGAGATTATTTGTATAATTAAACAACTGTGTGTGAAAAGTAGCCAAATTTAATAATTAAAATGGGGTGTCTGGATACTTTTGGACATACAGTGTAGCTTTCTTTTGTTAATTTGTTGAGAAATGGGTTTGCCTTGAATGAGATGCCTTGAAAAAGTACTACATCATGACATTGAATCAATGTAAATACAGTCATTTTTACCCAGCAAGGTTCATTTGTACAAAGACCTTCTTTTACTAAGTCACTTATAGTATCTAATCAAGAGATTCCGACTTGACGTTTCACTGCAAATAGACTTCAGGCTCAGGTTCAGAGACTGGCCCAGTGACTGTTTGTTATCATAAGTGTATTAGCCATTCAAAGTTACAGACCATACTGAGTTGGAATTTGCTTTGGGGACCAGTGCAATGCTCACTTTTGAGCGAAAACATCGCTCCATACTCCAAGTGTACACGGTTGAGCGTGTTAACATAAGTAGGCCTTGGTGTTCTATATGTAGTCTTATATTTTCAGGTTTGTTTTCATTTGAACAAGCATGCCTCAATGCTTCATGACCAGAAAGAGCCTCAAGCAATAGCGCCATGTCACACTGAGGTGGGGGATACACTTAAAGTTGTCCATCATCCTGTACTTAGACTGCCACCACCAGGAAATGGCTCTGTTACTGCCTGGAAAAATGAGTCAGTGGGTCACATACAGTATTCCACTAGCACCACCTGCTGGACAACACCTCCACTGGCCAGCTTTAACGTCTGTTAGGCCAACCAACAGGTTTCTGAGCACAGCAGTTTCAGACAGGCCTCTACACCTACCTTGCAACCTCAAACAGCAGAGGGGTTTCTTTCTCCAGGAGGAAAGAAACAAAGAACCCAACATAATCAAGCATCTTTTCTGCAGTGTAACCAATGTACCATACTATTACTAATCGTGTGAGTAGTTGTACCTGTGTAAAATAACTTTTCTCTCTTTTCAACCGCTCATTTCCTATAAAACCAACAAAAAGCAAATAAGGCAGAATCAAACCTCAGATGTTGTTATTGTGGCGTATCTCTGTGAATGATGGATCCGAGACTGTTCAGTGGAGTCCGTGCTCTCTTTTTTTGTTTTGCAGGTGCTTGAACATTTTTTTATAGATAGAAGAAAAATGATTTGATTTTCATGACATGTAAAGAAATGTTGGACTCCGCTTTTAAGAAACTGTCCAATTTAGAAATTATTTGTTGTACGGTACACATTTATTGTCTCTGTATACTCTAATAAAAACCTGTGCAAATTTTACTCACCTTTATTGCTTGCAATGCTGCATGTAGACAGCTATAATACAGTGTGAAGAAGTAGGCACACCTCATGAAAAGCTTTGATTTTTTCAATGTATTTGGACATACAAATATCCAGTGTTCATTTAAACAGTGTTGATAGATAAAGGTGATATTATTTAAAAGTTGACACTTATATTTATTTATATGTGTGTCATCCTTCATTTAATTGAAATAAACAGAAATGCAGTTTCTTATGTGCCAAAAGTAAGCACACCCCAACATATTTCATTACTTCAAATGTGTTGAATTGAAATCTGGTGCACCCGATCAGGTGCTAATGATTCGAACAGTGTTAGAGAATATCTTGGAGGAAACTGTCTTATTTAAAGCTCAGATATCTAGATATGTCAGGTTTCCTCTTCTTTGTTATTGGAGTATGTGGTATCATCATGCCTAGTTCAAAAGAGCTCTCCAAGGCCTTGCATATGCCTGTGAGCCTGGGAAGGAGTTTAGAAAGAGCTCCAAAATGTTGCAGATCAACCATTTCACTGTCTGGAAGATCATCTACAAGTGGAGAATATTTAAAACGATTACCAACAAGTCCACCCCAGGCCCAGCAAACTGAACCTGAGAGCAGACTGTAAGATGCTAAAGGAACTCCAGAATTTCATCACAAGATTTGCAGGTAGCTTTTGCCACTGTTGATGTCAAAGTGCATGCATCTACCATTAGAAACACACTTCAACTAAAAAGAACATTAGGGCAAGGCTAAAGTTTGCTAGTGAATATCTAGGCAAGGACCAGGACTTCCAGAACAATGTGCTATGGACAGATGACTTAAAGATAGAAGAGTTCTTTGTCCACAGTACCAGAAGCCATGTTTGGCAAAAACCAAAGACAGCATTTGTTCAGAGAAAGCCATACTAACTCTAAAGCGTGGTGGAAATGTTATGGTTTGGGGCTGCTTTGCTACCTCAGGGCCTGACCAACTTGCAATCACAGAATTGCCTATGAATTCTCTTCCATGCCAGAGAGTGCTTGAGGAGAATGGGAGGCCATCTATCAAAATGTTGAAACTGAAGAAGTGGACATTGAAAAGGATAATGATCCCAAACATACAAGTAAATCCATGAAGGAATGGCTTTAAAGGAAGAATTCAAGGGGAATACCTTAGTCAAAGCCTAGATCTGATTCCTACTGCAGTGCTGTGAGGGGTTTTGAAATGGGCTATACATGCAAGAAACCCCTCAAACATTGTACAGTTTTGAGAATTCTGCATGAAGGAGTGGGCAAATATTTCTCTTAGCAGATGTCAAAAACTGGTAGACAGATATAGGAAATCAGTACATAAAGTTGTTTCTGCCAAAATGGACTATAGCAATTACAGAAGCCAGGAGTATACTTACTTTAAAAAAAAGAAAGAAAGAAAGAAAAGTCACATTTCCACTGTTCTTTGCTCTATTACATAATGTTTATCGGTACACACCGTTTAACTGAAGATCTAATACAGGTACTTCCACACAAGTCAAAATAAAAGAAATATTTCATTTGGTGTACCTGCTCCTTCACGTGACTATATGTTATGTAATTATTCACAAATAATCTGATTTATGGGGATAAGACAGAAAGAGCTGTTATAACTGCTTACACTGTTTATAGCTGTAATAACTGTTTACAAGGGTTCATAAGAGTATTTTAAAGTATAAGAGTTGCCATCAGTGTTATATTTCTACTCTTACAGAACATAACATTAACTCTAACACATCCTTTGTGGTTCCACAAAAACTCTTAATGGCATGTTTTGTAGAAATTCACCTTAAAAGCTTATAGATACCTAACTGGCTGATCTAAAAACCAAAACCAAGGAGGTTCAGATGGTTCTTTATTAGATTAGTTATATAAAGGAATTACAGGCATAGCCATGCTAAACAATGATTTCTGCAAGCTCAATAAACTGTTGTATCTAGTAGGGTACCATATGCATGATGTTAGCTAATGGCTAACTAGTCAGCTAAGGGTAATATTTCTAGCTCTTGTCATTATCTTGTTCTCTTCCTTATTAGCCAATGACATTAAGTTCTCCTCTAATATTCCCATCACATTGCTCTACTCATCTTTCCTTAGTATGGAGTCCTTGGCTCATATATAAAGTACGTACTAAGAGCTCTATGTTTGCTTTGTCTGACCAGAGTACATTGCTCCAAAAAAGGCTAACATAAAGCCGTCGTTAGCGACATAAAGAGTTGAGATTTAGAACACCAGAGCACAAGAGAATGACCTTTGACCTCTAATGACACCAGCAGATAGCACATTCCTGAGACACTGACCTTCTAAGGCAGTGTCTTACATAAGAGTTACAACGTTTCCCTATTACGTAACGTTTATGTACACAGTGCCTGAATAAGCCGTATAGGTTCAGATAGAACCAGCTGTGGCTGAGTGTTAAAATGTAAAGATTGAGACATGCAGTGAACTTTGGGCAAGAATGCAAGGGTCCTGCAGGGTGGTGATTTGTGTAATGTGAATTCCCTGCTGAGAGAACATTGCGTGCTCCAAGCTGCAGAGCCATCCAGATCCATCTGGATCCTTCTAGTCTACTTCTACAAACAAGTGACTGCACACTTACTGAAGAAAGGATAACAGTACAAAGCACAGATGGACACAACAGTGATCTTGAAGCCTGAATTAGGATTTTGTCCATACCTTTGACCATACATATGCAATTGTATGCAAATGTTTGGACATCCCTTACCAAATTTGTTAAACTACAAAAAGCATGTCTTGCACGCACAGCATGTTTAAGATCTACCCACAAATTTTCAGGGGACTGTGAGGGCCATCCCAAAGATTCAGTTTGCATGCTACAGTAGTTCATGGTAGATTTTGAGATATATTTTGGATCCTGTTGCTAAAGCTAGCCTCATTTTAGTAACTGATAAATATCAAATTGGGCCGCTGGCTGCCACACAACCCCAACAGATTGACCCCAGTGGTTAACATTTGGCAAGGTGTTCTTTGCATCAAATGCTGTTCCTTTTTTCTCCAAATGTACCTTTGGTGATTATGAAAGAGCTCCAGTGAGACTTCATCAACAGCACTTGTTTCCAAAATGCCTCTGGCTCATGTAGATGTTGTTCTCCATACTTCAGATGTGGTGGGGGTTAAGGTTTCCTTCTCAGGACTTTTCAATATATGTCATGTTTGTACAATCAACGCCGCTCAGGAGAAGGGTACACTGCCACACCTGTTAGCTTAACCTTTATGCAGGCCCTTTGCTGTTATATGGGGGTTTTGCTTTGCCTTTCTGGCCAACTATCTAAGACTTTCCTTGGTCTTGCTTTGACTTCCACAGTTGCCCATAACTCTCATTTCTTTATGGCATTTCAGAGAATAAACATTGCAAGCTGGAAGCGCTTTAAAGCCTTCCTCTACTTTGCAGACATCATTAGCTTCAGCCAGCTGCTTAGAGGATCTCATGGTTGTTGGGTGTTGAGGTTGAAGAGTCAGAGAATCAATTACACTCTGCAATCGTCATCAGCTGTCAATTTCTAATGACACTTGTTACTAGTCCTGATGTGTGAATTAAGGTTTAATGTGTTGATTAAAATCAGAGACATTACTAGAAGGGTGTCTGAACTTTGGCACTTGTCACAATTCCTACTTTTTTCTGTTCGCAGGAAAAAATAGAATTTTTTAAAAGCAGATTGATACAGAGGTTGTGTTTACTTCTTTTAACTTCAAAAATCAACAAAATATGACATTTTTGCCCAAAATTTTGCACATAACTGCCTCTAGACACCCCTTCTAATTAGTCAATTCATCTACTTTAAGGTGCACCCTTTGCTGACGTGTTCAATACAGCTTGTAATCTCAATAGAAAAGCACTGCCAGTAGAATGGGACTCTCTGGAGCAGCCGCACATGAGCCTTTGGACAGTCTCCATGTCCAAAGCCAAGTGTCAGCTAGAGGGGTATACAGGTCCCAGCATTGGGCTGTGGAGCAGTGCAACTGATTTTCTGGAGTGATGGAGCTCCATCCAATACCTTTGATGAGTTGGAGCGATCCAGAACTAATCATTCAACATCAGTACCTGACCTCACAAATGCTCTTGTGGCTGAATCCTCAAAGTAATGTTTTAACGTCTAGTGTATAGCCTTCCTAGAAAAGTAGAGGCCGTTACTGCAGCAAGGAGGGGACAAAGTCCCTATTCATACCCTTGATTTCAAATGAAATGTTGAATGAGCAGGTGTTTACAAACAGACATACAGTATAATGTATATCATGTGCATAGAACACTCAAAAAACTTGCAAGTTCTCTGAAGGCATTACATTCCTTTAAGAAAAGCAAATATATTAACTCTGTGAAATGGCCACATAGTTTAAACATACATCACAAAAAGAAGAAAGTTTTGATAAAAAATTCTATTTAAAAAAATGCAGTAATGTTTGACATGGAGTGTTCGCCACCAAGTTGTAGCCTTCAAGTTGTAGCCTTCTGGTCACAAAACATGATCCTACTGCACAATTAGGTTAGACACAACAGAGAAATAAATACAAAATATATACTTTGTATTTTAGAGTTGGTATTGCATAGTATTAAGACATTAAGGAATGACAATGTCGCATACAGTCATTTCAGCTTTTGTCACTTCATGCAAAATGTCTTCTGTTGCAGAATTATAGTTCCAAAGGTTTTCCACCCATTGACCTTTCCCTAAAGAGAAACATGTCCTCACAGTATGCTACCATGTATTGTAGTGAGTTAACTATTTTGAATCTAGAGGGGCCGTAAACTCAACTACAAATATGAAAAAATCCTAATGATACTAACAATCTGTAAAATGATAATAATTAAGCAATGTTAGATGTGATAGAAACAGATCATTTACCAGAATTCAGAACTCAGCAGCAGGACTGTGTGGATGTTTCAGACTGTACAGAAATGCTGAAATCAGCTTATCTCTGGAGTGGGAGCTTGAAATTACACATGATCAAGCTACAAAATTGGGAAAATTGGACGCTTGCATAAAAGTGAGTGTTATTTGCAAACATGCTAGCCACTAACATTAGAGATATGAGCGATAAGTAACTTTCTTTTTGCGTTAACCTCCATATTTCAAGTACCTCATTAAAAGAGCTATGTTTATTAGGTTAGTTTTGCAGATTTAACCAACTACTCCCTGCTGAAAAATTCTGATTAATGCAGGTTTATGCCAGTCTGGTGATGGTTCAACTGGTCACCCAACATGGTCATGCTGGTTGACCAGCATACCAGCATCCAAAACACAACATATGTTGGTTTTGCTGGTCCATGCTGTTTTCTTCGAGCAGGGCTATCTGTATTGTTGATGGATCTAAAGCAAACGTCTAAGTAGGAATTCCCATTTGATGAGGCATTTTGTTTTTGTTTTTCCTAGTCCGAGGTTGGAAATTCTGAATTATGAGCTGGCATTTTCAGTGGTGAAGCCATTTCAACATAAGCAAATGTTAAATAAATAAATTATAGCACTGTGTCTAGAATCATTGTTTGTTATCCAAGTATTTTATGTATCTTGAGGGACGCTAAAAAAAAGTGAAGGCATGATGAAAGGAAGAATAACGGGAAGGCACACTATAAAACGCTAGCCTGCTAGTTCGTTCACTGGTAGTCGCTTGGGTTCAACTAAAGCGACTTAGGTTTGTGTGAAGTGGGAGTATGGCAAGGGATAACAAATGAAAATCCCTTCTTTTTTACCGACTGGTGAGGAACACCAGCTCCTCTCAATGTGGCCCTACCTAAAAGAAAACACGAAATTGCAAGAATCTACAGAAATGACCAACATCATTCACCAAAATCTTCCTAGGTGTTTTCCTAAATTTATTCTTGAGAAGGGTCTTAAGAAAAAGTCTACGTCAGATTCATGACGTGGTCTTAAACCGCCTTGTTCGCACCTTTGTGCTCTTGAGCGTGTGTAGATTCTGTTCTTACCTACGAGCAAATCCCAAATAAGAAAACACTGGTGAACATCAGAATCTTTGAAACGTGAAAAAAGCATAAATGGGTTTTAAGAAGAAATTTCTTCTTGAGAATGGTTGGTGAATAAGGCCTAATGTTCTTTACTTGACAGTCAATAGTAAATCCACACAAGACCTTACAGCTGACAGCAAAAAAATGGATTAAGGAAATAAGTTGACAGCCCCTTTAAAGAACACTCAATAGATGAACCCACTGCAACTTTCTATGCTGTACAAACTTTCTCCTCCATTCTGTAACCATCTGGGATGTTCTTGTCAGGTGCCAGTCCAATGTGTCTGTTGTCAATGTCCCTGCGTGGCTCCACAAGATCAAGCAGACTGGCGCAAGTGGGCAGGTAGACATGCTGAATACGGTCAACCTCTGAACGACACACTGGGCAGCACTGAAGAGAGACATCATCATGAATATTATGGACTTTTTCAAAAATAAAAGTATTCAGTTACAGGAATAATTTGGTGAGTAATCAAGTTTACTCAATTTTCACCTTACCCCAGTTGTAGTTGATCAACCAAGATACATTTAAAGAAGTTAGCTTAATTAGCTTTTCACTGCAGCTACAATGCTAAAGTAGCTAACAAGTAACTCAAGCTTATTTACATCCAAACTTGAAGTGGAGTAATGATCTGGATAAGCCAGCTCCTCTTTCATTCAGATTTTTTCCTAGCTGGTGTGTTTAAGTGCTTATTCTTTGAGGTAAAAGTGATTCAAAGCTCATGTTTACAAAAGGATATTCCACTCAGTCATTGGCAGATTCAACCCAGTTACTGCTGTAATTCACTGGCAGACTCCTATGATCTTTAATTAAACCTGTTTACTGACATATTTCACTGTTGTTGCCAATTTTCACTCAGTTTTTGGCATATTTCACTCAGTTATTAGCATATTTCTCTCAGATCCTGGCACATTTCACTCATTTTTAACAGTGGCATATTCCACTGTAGGTAGCCTTTTAGCAAACACTGCTTACCTAGCTAGTTAGCAAACTATCACATTGTCACTGTACTGCACTACATTAACCCCACAAAAGTCCATGTTAGATCACATGTGGCTTGAAGTTCACGATGAAAGGGGTAGTTGATCTAAAACAGACGTTAGCACACCTCAGCTAGCGTTACTAGCCTTGCCACAGCGTAACATACTTCACATCATATCTTTTAGCTGGAAAGCTAGTGTGTTTGTGAAGAGTTATTTTACCAAAGAAAATGCTAAAAGTTGTTATTTTTTATTTTAGAAAATGTTATTTTCCCACCTCAGGCTGTCAAATCAGATACTATAAGAGCTTTTTTACCACAAATGACTGGGCAACAGGGTTGAAGCAAGTAACAGGGTTGAACACAGATCATTTTCCCCATTTAGGTGATATGAATGTTGTAGAAAAAACATATACAACATAGAATGGAAAGAAAAGTTGAAAATGTATTTTAATCTAATTTTCAACTGAGTACTGACTTCTCTCATGGTCATTCTGGAGAAAACAACAACATGATGCAAATTCCTGTATATATTATAATGAACAGAATGTCCCATTTTTCCGAGGGGGAACAGGTTTGGGTAACAGGGTTGTGCATAAAATCTGCGACACATGTTAAAATGCCCTTTTTTATTTCCTTATTATTGAAAAATCATTCGTCCATTGTAATTATGGTGTTACTGGAAGATTTTAATAAACATATTTCATAGAAATGTTCGATGTTTATGAGATGGGACTGCCCAAAATCAACATTTCAAAGCTGGATACAGACATTTTAAGTGCTTTTGTCATCATTTAAAAGCTAATTTTAACAATTTTATTTTATGCAAAAGTACAGATCCCTCCACTTTTTACAGAAACAAAAAATAACAATAACAGTCACTTTATTGCTTTTAAAAAGGTAATGGTTCATAAATTGAACTCTATTCGTGGAAAGTGGCAAGTGGTGTTTAACTAGAGCTGCATCCGAATTGCTGAACAAACTTCTTTCCTTACTTTTGTTGGTTTTTATAGATAATAGTATGTTGTAGTGTCAGAATCCAAATAAGCAAGTAGGTTTGAAGTTACTCAGCAACTTAATGTGGTTTGAGGCAGGTATACTATGAGTTAGGCATGCAATTTGCATACTGCTAATGGAAGGGGTATAAGCTTCCATCAGCTACATTTGTAGCTTCATTAAAAAACTAAAGATGCAAACTTCAGAACACCGAACATGTCTTAGTTGACTGACTACATTTAGGATAAGAGACAACTTGGGTAATTTTAAAACACACTGAAAGGAAGTACTAGAATTACCCAATCTTCATTTTCTGCTGTTGCACAACTACTCAGTTCTAATGCTTTCAACTGTGGTGCATTATTACTGAAGCTTAAATAAGGCCCTGCTTAGGGTTAGACAAGGTTGTTGACTTTTAGTCATCAACAGTCTGTGCCTCACGGGACGGTAATAGCTGGTTCCTCACGTTGCAGCTTGCGCAGGGTAACCACCGGTTATGCAAAGTCTATAGTGTGTACTTCCTCAATGATTAACTTCATCGGTCACTGGAGCGCTGATGACCGTTTTCGAGCACGACGTGACACTGAGCTTATATTTACTGACCAAGATAAAACATACAGTACAGTAGATCAGGCTGGTTTCCGCTGCGCTCTTTACAAACCTATAATTTAAGCCTACTGTGTTTGAATGCTCGGGTTTGAATGTGTTCCATCAGTCAGCAAGTACAAGTACTGTTCAAAAGTCTGGAATCACCACTGGAATCACAGAAATGTTAGAGGTGTCCAGAATGATGAACAGAGCTGTAGATGATTCTGTAAAAGCTGAGAAAGCTGTATAATATCGAGAACAAAGTTATAATAAAATGAATATTGGTATTTAACAAATTCTTGTTGTTCCCAAAGTACTTGAAATATTGAATGCTGAACATTTCTTGTCTAATTTGATATTTAAAAATTACACTGTATGTTATATTATATATAAAATAACAAAATGTTCAATATGACAAGTGATTCCAAACTTTTGTTCAACTAATCACATTATAAAAGAACCACAGCCTTATTCAAAGAAAAAAATATTTAATATTACGATTACTTGGGCACATATTGTGATTATGATGTGCCTTGCAATATACGATTGAGAATAAAGTGGTTTTTGGATTTTTGCCCAATCTTCTCCACAAATTAGTCGTGTCCAATTCCTCCCGCTAGCTGGGTCTCCCCCTATCGCATGTTGCTACTTACGTGGGAGAGTGTCAGCTTCCCCCAAGACACGTGAAACAAATTGTACACTCTAAAAATATTGGTTTAAAGTGCAACTTTGAATATGATGTAGGCCCACCACTTAAAAAAGAGGGTGTGGGAGGCACTGTCATGCTAAATTGTACACACTGTGACCCCTGGTTACTATTACCATTACTGCAAAGAAATCTGAACCACTTTGAATGACTTTGTTTACGTCTCAATGATTAACCCATTCCGAAATTTTGAAAAATCAGTGGTATTCCTTTTGAAATGGAAGCTATTTCTTTATTCACTTTTTTGTGAAGGTCTGGGGTGAGGTTGGGGGATGATTAGTTGACTGTTAGTCAGAAATCAAAGTAGGTAAATCCTTAATTAGAAACCTATTGTGTAATTGTAAACAGTAAGAATCATTCACCTGAAGCTGGACAGCACATTTCTGGCAGCAGACCACGTGTCCACAGGGGCAGAAGGCAGCGTCAATCTCAGCCTCGCAGCAAAGGGCGCAGGTCAGAGCCTCCTGCAGCCTCTGGAGCTTCTCCCTGCAGGCCTCATACGCAGCCTCCTCCTCATCCTCCACCTCTGGCTGTCTGGGAGGGGACAGACAGGGGTGCTGGGCGTCCTTCTTTAGCCCTGTGCTGAAGAGCGTGCGCCGGGCCCGGTCATACACCTCCTTGGACGTGCGCTGGATGTCGAAGATGTACTTCTTGCCCAGGTCGATGCTTTCGTTGAGAAAAAGCGAAGCCAGGTGGCCCTTGAAGTCGCGGCTGTACTGCATCATCACTGCGCTCGTCACTGTGTCGCACCTGAAGGGTTAAACGAAGACAAATAGTATGTAGGGGTCTAGTAGTGGCAGTGGGTTATTCGTGCAAGGTTAAACACACACTGAGTTCAAGGCTAAACTCTCAGTTCTCTTTGAGTTAAAATGCTTAGTGTCTACTGTCATAGGTTCACAGTTCAAATGCCCTTTTTAAACTGACAAGTTGATTAATCAGCAGAGGAAGTCGTAGTGTTCTAGGTTAACTAATATTATGCCAATCAAGTAATATCTGTAGCCTAGTATTTGGACTATGTAGCTACTGAAGCTGTTTAAATTTAAGCATTGAGCTATTTTAGAAAATGTACTGTCCATGTGCATCTCTTATGCAATGCTTTGGGCACTGAAGAGGAAGGCAGACGCAACACAGATAAAGAAAAAAAAGACTTTGAGTGACTTGCCTGCTTCAAAAGTTGTAAAGATGATTCAGAGAAGGTAATGGCATTTAACTTACATTCCAATTTCTAATATGAAGTACCTCTTACAAAAATAAGTATGTAAGACATTGTCAAGCTAAATTTAAGACAAGCATGCTCAGAAAGTATAATATAAACATTTAAAAAATAAAAGCGTCCATTCAAGTTTTAATTTTAAATTCTGTTGTCCAAAGTTCTTCCACTAATATGTAAAATCAAGCCTGGTCAACAGAAGATCCAAATTCAGTTTAAGTGTGTAACTGCACACTCATTTGGAAGAAAAGAAAAAAGTTTGTAATCTATATTTACATATGCTTTATAAAGTTGAAAATCTAAAACTGCTATATATATATATATATATATATATATACACACACACACACACACACACACACACACATATACATATACATAAAGTCATCGGTGTTCAAAGAAAAACATCTACATTTTTGTCATTTTTATGTTGAGTGAAAATTTTATGAAGAATCAATCAATAGAAATGCTCTAAAATCACTTATATCACTTGTAATAAAACCTCTTTACATTAACTTACGTTAAAAGGTAAGAGTGTTTTTGCCCTCTCCTGCAAAGTAAGTATTCTGGAAAACATATGTAAACATTTTCCTTCACATATGGGCAAGTTCAGTAATGAAAAGTAGATACACTTTACCTTATCATATCTCTGTGATTATTTGCTTTGCTAAAATAACTGCCATTATATTATAGTAGAACTTAAAACTGTACATATGTAATACAAACTTCTTCACAAGCAAACACTGATCTATGCAAAGCATTACAAATGATATGACTCTCCACCTGTAGAACGCATGGATCTCGGTAATGGCCCGGTACAGTCCGCTGGCAGCACTAGCGGTGATGAATTTAAACAGGAGGACCAGGTTATCTCCATTGTCCTTAGCGACGGTCACATACACATTCTTCCCAGACTGAGTGGCCATTTGAATGGCTGGATATATGAATCTGGAAGGAACCACAATGGTGTCTTTTTATAAACTATTAGAAAATGTGAGGCAGCAGATCTCTTAAAGCGACAGTTCAGCACAAAATCAAATTTACACAATTTTTCTCTAACTGCAGAAGTAGTCGACCACTCAAGACATGTTTGGCATCTGAAGTTCCAAAGTTTGCTACTTTAGTTTTGCACTGAAGCTACAAAGCTGATGTAGTCAAAAGGTAAACAAAGTTCTTGTTTTCCTGTAATCGTGCACCAACAGGTGGAGAAAAGTAATATTAACCAGTAATATAATCCTTCCCCTTTTACCACCCTCACTGCCTTAAGCTGTGCAACCACATGTGACCTTTATTGTTATATTTTGTTCTTCATAATGTGGCATATGTTCTCAACATGAGACAGGTAAGCCAGTTTAGCTCCAGCACTCACTGATTACACATGTGCAGAATGCTTCCTGGCTAGAAGGCAGCATATGTTGCTCCAAAATGTTAATATACCTTTCAGCCGTTAATGGTGCTTTCACAGATGCGCAAGTTGCCGATCCCATGGCCAATAATACACCACCATAACATGACAGACCCTGGCTTTTGAACTTTATGCTGGTAATAATCTGGATGGTCATTTACTTCTTTGGCCCGGAGAACACAATATCAGTTATTTCCATAAACAATCTGAAGTCATCAGACCACAATACGTTTCCACTGTGCATCAGACCATTTCAGTTGAGGTTAAGCCCAGAGAAGTTGGCAACATTTCAGAAAGTTGTTGACATATAGCCTTTGCTATGGGTAGTCCAGTCTTAACTGGAATTTGTGGATGGAGCAAAGAACAGTGTTTTCTAACAGTTTATCAAAGTATTCCTGAGCCCATGCGGTAGCATGCAGTACTGTCTGAGGGATGGAAAGTCTTGGGCATTCTATTGTAGTTTTTGGCCTTTCTGGCACAAACAATCACCAGACTACCTGAATCTTTTGATGATATTTTGCACTGTAAAGGGTGAAAAACCTAAAATCTTTGCAAACACTTACTGAAGAACGTTCTTAAACGTATCTTGCTGATGCATTGATTTGGCAAAGTGGTGAGCCACAGCTTATACTTGCTCATAAAGGTCTAGGGTTCTCTGGATGCTGCTTTCATTTCCAAGCAAGATTACATCACCTCTGATCATTTAGCAACGTTTCTAGTTTTAAACTGCTCTTGTCCCAACTTTTTGGAATGTGTTGCAGGCATAAATTTCAGAATGAATGAAGTTGATACAATAAAAGATGAAATATCTTGCCTTTGTACTGCTTTCGATTCAATACAGGTAAAAGTGGATTTACTAATCACTGCTTTCTGTTTGTATTTGCATTTCACATATTTTGTATATATTTTGGTAATGATATAATTTTTTGTGACAGTGCTACTACTCATTAGCTCCTTAAGCGTTAGCTTGCCTTAGAAAGTAACTAGCAAACAAGCACTTGCAAAACATATGTAACAGCTTTAAAGTTTAATAAATAGCCGCTATAGTTATAAAAGAAATAAAAAGAAAAAAATAAAAGAACACAGAACACAGTACCTGTTTAGCTAGGATTAGTTAGCCAGTTCGCTAACTGTTTGTATGCTTTCTCAGAGTGAAAGTTGACTTGCGAAAAGCTGAGATTTCAGCAGGTTTAGGCAGATTATGTGCTGGTAACATCTTTTTTTCTTTCGCCATTGAATCTTTTACGTCTCTCTTCAGGGCTGAAGCTTTTTTGCAGCTGGGATCTGCTTTGTTTTGACTGGCTTTCAGAACTAAATCTTTCAACAATGATTTCTTCTAACTGGCCAACGCTCCAACACACTCAGGAATGATTATGAAAAGGTAAAGTAGCAAAGTGAAAGAACTTTATTACAAACGAACTGAGGTAAAAGTATAAGTCCCATGATTTCATTCTGTTCAACAAAGTACTAAAATTGTATTTTCCACCTCTGGTTATAAGTTCCATTACTTGTTAGCTACATTAGCCACATAGTGCTAGTGCAAAACTAAAGAAATAAACTTTGGATACCAAATTGTCTTCTCTGTCTTGGCTAATCGACTACATTTGGCGTAAGATGAAAATTGTGTGGATTTGATCTTTTTACATGAACTACTATGATATACTTCTGATGTCACTCAGTATTCATCTGTCTTCCTGTATCTTTACCTGTTCATGGGTGTGAAATCCTCTTTGCAGATGAGCAGGCCTTCCGGTCCTACCCCAATGGCCACCTTGTGTCCCTCAGTGTCCCGTGCCCAGTGCCACTCCACACCATAGTTCTCCAGAGAGGACACCAGCTGTAGAGCCTGGTACTCTGCCGAGGCCTGACTCAAACCCTGTAGCTCTTTATGCCTAGCAATAATGCTGCCAAAGCAAAGAGAATTACACTCAAACACTGAATTAAACACACAGGTCAGCCAAGTACATTGCGAACATTTTCTGATGAATGGTACAATTGACACGCCCTTACTCCTATGAAGTTTCCATTTCGGAGATGCAAAGTTTTGTTACAATCAGCAGCATAAATCACAATAAGAAAATGAGCTTTTACAGCCCACATTTTGGGCCAGTTACTGTGAGCTAATGTATAAACTGATGCATACGAGTACAAGAGTGATAAGACAAACTATTAATGATACATCCAGGTGTGTATCTGTAGTAATTTAGGAGTTAAACCAGTGGTCCTCATCTCAAGTGGTACAGTCTGGCTTTGCTGACTGTAACTGAGTTGTGTACAGTGGACAGATATACATGAAGTGGAAGTTAACTTCCTATTCTCATTTCCTGTTCCACCTTAAATGATGTAGCAGTTACATTCAGATGCCTGTATGGGCACTAGCGTGTAACTGCTGCATTATTTTAAGTAGAACAAAACTTTGAATGAGAAACATCAGCCTTGAGAGCTTAGTGTATCAAATCCAGTGCAAGTGTGTGAATCTTGTACTGGCTGACACAACAGCAGGCAGTGCACTATAGAGTTCAATTTAGGGTTTTTTTGCATTGCTGATTTTTATATGTGAATCATGTGAAAATAGACAGCAGTGGCAAGAACTGCAGAAAAACAAAGATGGCACCGAGAAGATAAGAATGAAAAAGCTACTGAAGGAGGATGAGGACATATCCGAGGTGAGCAGGGAGAAATGCTGACCTTAACTAGCAATAGTTTGTAGCACACTGACTGTCATGATGATATCATATTTAAAATAAAAGCTTTTGCCAGTTTCTATCATTTTATGAATTACTTGCCACCTATCAAACCCTAATTGTAGCAGCAGCATTTGGTCAAGTTGTAATGTTGACATGTATATATATGTGCATTTAAATTTGGTGTTTCCACACTGAGAGCTCTTTCTGTTCCAAGGGTTATGGGTCAATGACATGCAGACGTTTTTGATCCAACATTTTTTTTCAAATGAAATAAACAAAATAAAAGACATCAAGTATATCTAGTACATATCATATACATACCTACTTCAAGCTTTCCCAATTTTTCATATATTTTAAAATTTTCACTCATTGAAAGAGATAAAATATCATGTGGTGTGGCCAATTTTGAAAACCTGTTTATTTTGCCCTATTGTGAAAAGCATTTTTCACTAATTAGCAAAGTTGCTTATAGTTTTATCATAATATACTAACAAAAATTGTCTGTACTTGTTCATTTTATGAAATACCATCTGGTGTGACCATCAAGAAAAGCCTATTTTAAGACTTTTATACTGACATTTAAATGACAAAATGTGACATCATATAGCAAAATGCTAAGCACACCTGACAATATTTAGAAGGTTTGTAAAACTTCTCAAAAAACAATCTGAAAAAAAATCACATATTTAAGTTCTGCTGTGGTGTTGCCACATACGGATGTATTGTTGTATGACCTCAAAAAAACATGCATGTTAAAGCATATATGTAAATCTACATTTTGATTATAGACGCTCATTGTAAACTTTGGTGAGATAAAGTCCTCTTTTATTTTGGTGCCTGATACATTTTCATTGAACTCAAAAACCTCATATGGTGCGACCAAAAATCATGTGGTGCAACCACTGTCTGAGATAGAAGTGTTTTGCATTGGCTATTTCTGTTCTTTTATAATCAATTGATCCATGATTTATTTTTTTATTATTATTTATAACAGTTTAATTTGGCACAGATTTTTTCTGCAATTTCAATCAACATTTTAAGACAATTAGTGAGTTTCGATTTTGTTCAGAACATAGAACCATGGCTCACTTGTTCATGGTGCTTGGGTTGGATTCCTGGCTGTAGATCTGGGTGCAGAAATATTCGGCTGTGTTCTGGTTGTAATCTCCAAACTCTGCCTGGGCCAACAGGGCACACAGTTCCACCACCTGATACGAGTCTAACCGCACGCTTCCTCGGACAAGTTCCTCCTTCACATGCATCAGGAACAAATGCCTGCATTGAAACAGTACATCACAAACTTGTAAACCTCTGATGGTCAGAGATTGGCCACAGCTAAAAATTTTATCTACGCAGGTGTCCCTTTACCCGGTACTTGACCACTCAAGGCATGTTCGGTGTCTGAAGTTTGCTTCTTGAGTTTGGAACTGCAGCTGTGAGGCTAATATAGCTAAGTAGTAATGAATGCTTATAGCTAGTAGGTTAGCACTGTGCAAACGTGCCTCAAACCTTTGTTTTGTTGTCCAATTTACAGGTAACAGTATGTAAAACCTTTTGCAAAACAAGTAAGAGGTAAGCATATGATGATTCAGGCATGCAGTTAGCTTCATTAGCTCCAAGCTTACATTGCTTGTTAGCTACATTAGCCTCGTAGCTCTAGAGAAAAACTAAATTGGCAAAATTCGAACAGCAAGCATGTCTTAAGCTTAACCACAGTATTACTATGTTTAAAAAAATATATTTTTTATGTTATACTTCACAGAATCCGGCACAACAGACACAGAAGCTAACAGCCTTACTTCTGTTTGCTACACCTGAACTTTATCCATGTATTACAGGGCAGTGAAGAAGCCTGTATATGTGCTGTGATTTGTGCTGGATTGCAGGCCTTTTATGACCTACTCTGCCAAATGATAAGGCCTAGGCACAAGATATCGATCAGCTGTAGTCAAAAACACAAACATCGCAACAACGTTGACTACACAAGAACCTCTGATAACGATTTCCCTGTGTGAAACATTTCTCAGGCAAAATCAGTACAAAAATCTAAGAATGAATTAAAAACTTGCATGTTGACTTCTGCTAGAAAAAAAGCATAGACCTGCATAGCTGATTACCAACAAAATCAGCAAATGTTGTGTTTTGGATGCTGGTATGCTGGTCAGCAGCAGTGGAAGTTAATGCACTGGTCACCAGCAAAACCAGCATATGTTGTGTTTTGGATGCTGGTATGCTGGTCAGCAGCATGACCATGCCAGGTGAGCAGCTAAAGCAGCACTAGACCATCATAAACAAGCATATCAGCAGGGTTAAATGAACTTAACTACAACAAATGTACTTTGGCAGGTCAGCAAAGCATATTCCAATAAATTCTATTAAAACCAAATTTTTCTCCTAGTCACCCCGTCATACCTATGGTAAACACAATTGCCAGTGTTTATATTATTTCACATAATATTGGCTGCCTGCAAGTTGGCTCTAAAGAGGATACGTAGCTTTAGATTTGAAGTTTAGCAATATGACATAAGATGATTAAAGTCAATGTGAAATGTGTTTTCCTCAGCGAACCCCTATTCATCATTGGTCAGTTTCTGACCAGATATTATCTGGATGGCGGAGCATTCTCAGCACAGCAGTGACACAGCGACATAGTAGTAAGTGTGCGGCTGGTACCAGTACATCAGGCATATCAGTGTCACTGTTAGGTTAAGTGGAGCTCATAAACTGGTCAGAGAGAGTTGGAATTTTTATTAAAGTGGATGTAAAGTGTGCATGCCAATTAAAGTGGCTGCCATGAGACTATATGAAAGGCAATGCATCATTCATAGAGTAAATGCTTAGACCGGAGAGCTGACCACACAATAAGTATCCAGTGAAACAGTAACTCACCTTGTTTGCTCTTGCAGTATAAGATGAGGCTCCACAAAGAACTTCACTCGCAGCTTCAGTCTGCAAGGCGACACACTGTCCACTTGTTGAGAGATTCTGTTTCTTAAATTCAGCCATAGACTCTCACCCTTACTCCCAGTGAACTGGAGTCCAAAATAGTCCACCTCAATGATCCCCAGTCTCTGACATACCTGGAAAACAGCTTGTGATTACCATGCCTTTTCTCCATTGTCACATCCACTAATGTCTGATAAACTCACAGTGTTTTCAGTGTTGTTGATTTAAAGGGGCATTCCAGCCATGTTATATCATATTATGCAGTATTCTGTAGTGCAGCATTGCATCTTTCAGCCTCACTGGTTTGATGGAATTCACTATTTTGCATCCTTTTTGTGTTTCCGTCCATCATTTCATCCATACAAAAATCCTCGCCGATAGGCAGTGATGTATAGACTAGTAATATTCTAATGATAGTTGGTCATTTTACAAGCAAAACCACACTTATTGCCAAGATATATGGTATTACATAATATGCTTAGGTTTCTAAGGCTTTTGGACAGTACTGTACATCTGGACCAAAGTTGTTTACATCCTTACACCTTCACACCTTCAAGATACATCATCAAAGGGGTTTTCCATGTCTTAAAAACAGAAAATCTCACTCCAAAGACTACAGCAGCACCACTGTAGGATAGGCATGTTTACAGCAGATGAAGAGATGTTTCCTTTTTTATTTTGGCCAGAGTGACCCTTTAATATTTGAGGTTTAATTAATTTAATAACAACTTAATAACTCAATAATGAATTAACTTAATTACAGCCTAATAACAAGTCATTTTAAAAGTGAAGAGCTATAATAATGATGATAATTAACCATTATCACACTAATATCAATAATAATAATAATAATAATAATAATAATAATAGTAGTAGTAGTAGCAGTAGTAGTAATAGTGTAGTCGTAGTACTGTATTACGATTAGTAGTATTATTCCTACCACTACTGCCAACACTGTACTAAAGGCCATCCGTGAATGTTGCACATGAAGTTGAAGAAATTACGTAACGAACAACGTGTGCAACGTTATCAAGGACTTCATCAAGTACCAGCTTCGATCCTTCACTCACTACAATTTTGCGTGTTTGCTGCTGATCATTCAACCAGATGGTAAAGTAACAGCATAACAGTTACGAGTAAAACGTTAATCTAACTAGATAAACAGCTGCGGTCCAGCAAAAAGTCCACAACTCACAAACTTCCGAACATTTAATTAATGACCGAAGTCTTCTGTTATTTTACCTTGTTGAGACAGTCCTCTCCGTTCGCTTTGGGATCAACCTCCACCTCCATAACTACACAGTCCGGTCGAGTTATGTGACAAAGCATTTTGACGTTCACACATTTGCTATCACCCAACAAACTGCATCTGCACTAAAGCTCATCGCCCCAGAACAGTAACAGCAGTTTATAAAGCCCGTCTTCCAAACCCCGCCTCTCTTCTTCAGAAGGACCAATCACCACTGAGCACTCGGTAAAGGGGCGTAAACAGACTGAGGTGCCACGCCCACTCAACACGCCTCATCGGCTCTGGCTTCACTTCCCTTGCAGGCCAAGCTTACCTAATTTTCCCGGCAGAATGTCGGCTGAATCCCAAATAGGTGTGCTCCCTATGTAGTGCCCTATGTAGGGCAATGACTAAAGGTTTCTGCAGCCATATAGTGCCTTAGATGACTAATAGGCAGGAATTTGGGATATAACCCTTGTTATAGTCGTCCTGAGTCGGGGCTTTTATCCTGTGTTACAGGCTACCGAATTTCTCTCTTTCTGGCGAATTTTCATTTTACTTTCTCTTGGTTTTAACAGCCTGTGCACAAAGCTAGCCTGATAACGTCAATTTGAGCATTAGCTATAAGGCACTTTACGTTCAATGCCAATTTGTCGCCCTGACGTGAAAACGCCCCATGATATTTGAAAACCTTAAAGCGGAGTTCCACCAAGTTTTCAAAATTTCTGACTAATTCAGTCCCCGAGATGTAAACATAGTCATACGTTGTGGTTTTATGTGAAGTGGTTCTTTGTAAAGAAAATGAGAAACTCTGATTTCTTTACAGTGGTGGTGATAGGAACCAGGGCTCGCCATGTCAAATACAGCCATTTTATTTCCTAACCAAAACCCTTTCCAGCTCTTTAGGTTTGGGGAATCTTCACATTCCTGAGGTCTCAGGGATGGCAAGAACGGCGGATAGCAACATCCCCAAAAGTAGTCGTGTTTATTGTTGAATAAAGATCATTGTACCCATAAATGTTGATAGTATTTTTTAACTGTGGCAATGCAGGAATTTTTTGTCAATCTTAACTTATCAAGCATAAGAAAAACTGAATATTGTGACACATTTTGTGTACATCATGAAAATGTCAAGTATCGTGATATAGTGATTTTTGCCATATCGCCCACCCTGTATCCGGATTGCAGTATTGATCCAGTACTGATACAGCATACATGAGCTTCGTTTCTAAATCCCTTTCAGTAAAATGGCTAGCAGTAGTACCAGCGTGTGCGCATGCGCGTTACAACTGAGTTGGTCGTAGAGCTACAGAAAGTGGTGACAGTACTGTAACTAACTAGCTTAGCATGACGTTCTCAGTACGGGATGATAGGAAATGTGCTGTTGGTAAAATAAGTAATTTACAGAGTCCGAAAAGGATTATAAACATCACTGTGGTCAGCAGACAGGAGTTTTATGCCGCGTCGTGAAAGTGAACCTATACGAGGTGAGAGATGTTTGAGAATTTCAGGGAGAGACTGCAGACAGTGCAGCAGGACTTCACGACAGGGTATGTGTTTACATGTTTACACTTCTGTTTTTGTCAAAACTGTGAAATATGTCAAAGCTTATTAGATACCGAGTCATGTTAAAACGTTAGCATTAGACCATCTCCCAGATTCGCCAAGAGCTACGACGCTGAAGTCAGTTTTATCCGCCAGCTTCTTGTTCGAATTTTCCGTTCCACCTTAAAAGATACGGCGGTTACATTCTGGCGCCTGAAACGCCAGAATGTCACTGCTGCACCATTTAAGGTGGAACGGGAAAATTCGCACAAGCCTTGTCCGAGAGCCGAGGGCTAAGAGTTGGCTAGCTGATTAGCCCGCTAAGTTAGCTCTCTAGTTCGCACACGTGAGTTTAATTACTTTGACGTTTTTTTTCTCTCCGTGATTTAGTCAGTAAAACATGGCTACCTGCAAATACACGGCAGCTCTGTGATTTATTTAAACTTTCATATTTCTCTGTGCTGTTGAAATGAAGCTAGCTAACTCTATGCTAGCTGCTGCATTCCACAGTATTGCTCAAACTAAATTGGCTGGATTACTTTCAGATGACTGTCATGTGATAGACTAAAGAAAGGGATTTTTACACTTATTTTCATACTTAAAGGGGAATTTTGTCAAATTTCCTACATAATTAAACGGTTACGGTGTAAATAAAGTCGTTCAGAGTGGTGTGATAGGAATTGTTTCGTTGTAGAGAAACCTGCAGTGTCAGAATTGTGAACAGTGGTGGTGATAGGAACCAGACGTCTGAAGAGTTTATTGATTGTAAAAGCTGCGTCACACAAAGCAAGTACACAAAACGGCTATGAATATGCCTGCTGTATGAAACACTGTTGTATGATAGATTTGAGAGTTACTTTTGGCCCAAAACGTATTGTTTTAAATCCATTTATGGCAGAGAAGAACTTGCATGGCATTGTAGAACCAAACAGCACCTGAAGAAAATGTATTTTTTCAGATTTTACCTCCGTTTGCCTAGAGATGGTCGATGTGCCAAATATCATAACACGATACTTCAGGAAGTTTTTTTATGATGCATGTCATAATATTTATTTTGTCTGACATTTGAAAAGTTATAACAGAAAAAGTAAGCCCACATCTTAAAAATACAATGAAAAAACTATGAATTCAGTTATTTTTATGCAACATTTTACATATTGTGCTGCACTAAATCCAATTAAACTCCTTACGCGCTCTGTGTAATCCAGCATGCAGTTGTTAAGTAACGATATACACAAAAAAATGTGGTAATGTAATCATAATAACGATAAATATTGTAATAATGCCCAGTTCTAGTTTTGCCATTATGCTACCATTATCAACATTACATAGAAAAAACACACAAGTTCACCCAAACATACATGTTTTCTGGTCAGTTTGGATAGTTGTAGACAGTGCAACCCCTGGTTCATATCACCACCACTGTAAATAAAATCTGAGTTGTTAAGCACCATTTCACATCAGACCATTCTGAATGACTTTGTTTCTTAATGATTGATTTATGCAGAACTTCTGAAAGATCATCAGAATTCCCCTTTAATACTGTAGACCTTAAAAAGACACTGAATGTCATGTCATTATGTTTTGATTTCATAATGAAACAGCATTAGGTCACAAATAGAAAACTGCATTGTCAAAATGTCTAAGTAAAAGAAACATGCATTTGAGATTGAGATTAAGATAAAAGGAGTTTATTTGTTTAATTTTCTAAGCACTCTGAACATATTAGGCATTGTAGTATAGATATGAATATAAGGAACAATGAGGAACTGGTAATGGAAAGCTCTAAGAGGAAGAACCCAGGTAAATAATGCAAAATTGCACTGAAGTGGCTCTGGCTTCGCTTTCTTCATGTACTTGAACACCTTTGTACTTGAACATTTCCCACTCATGTTTTCAACCTTTTTAGAATTAAGACCCTGAGTGACAAGTCCAAGGAGGCCAAAGTGAAGAAGAAGCAGAGGTATAAATTAGTAAGCTCAAAACACTCCTAGATGAATTGTAGTTTTGTACGTTCATACATCTGCCATAACCTCTCCTCCTGTCTAGGTGCACAGAAGAAAAAGTAACCTGAAGTGAAAATAATTTGGCAACAATACACAGAAATTTGAGGGACGTTATATTTTTAAAAGCAACACATTCCTACATGAGCTCTCATCAGGGTGTTTTATAGAGGATATACAGTGCTCTGTACCCTGTGTGGGATCAGAGAGGGCTCATGCTGTAATGTGCTGGTTTTAACAGTAAGGTACCGAGGAGCAGGGCTGCACAATATATTGTTTCTTAGTCATTATCACAATATTGGCCTAAATTCAGTGTTGATATCGCAAAAGTCTGCAAAATGAACAAGACTTCTAACTAATCATCAGTGTTTTTTACTGCATGCTTTGAGCATTTTGACCAGTCACAGTTCCAGATGAGTGTTTCTCTGGGTGTTTTGATGAATCAGGGTATTAATGTAATCCTTGAAAAGTGAATTCTTTTGATCAAAACAGTGCAGGTCAATCATTAACCATGTCACATAATTTATTTACCCATGTGTTTTAAATGTGAAGCAATTCAAGGAAGTAGTATGTCACTCATAAGGGGGCATAAGAGCTTTATAAGAGTGATATTTCACATTAATGACATTATGTCTTTATTAACATATTGCAAATCATAATATATAGTAATAAAATTACAATAATGCAAATGTAATTCTAGAAAAGTTGGGACAGTGTGTGAAATGCATATAAAAACAGAAAAGAGTCAGTTGTAAATCATCTTTAATATATATTTAAATGAAGTAGTACAAAAACAAGATATTTAATGTTTTATCAACTTTATTGGTTTTTGTAAATATATTTTCATTTTGAAATTGTTGCTGGTAGTGTGTTCCAAAAAAAAGGTGGCATAGGGGCATTTTAAGACTAGAAAAGTTTTTAAGTGTTTAGAAAACTTTTTAAAAGAGGTGACATAATCATGCCTGGGTGTAAAAAGTGCATTCAGGAAAGGGCTAGTTCTTCATGAGCAAGAGTGGGTTGAGGCTTGCCACTTTGCCAAAAAATGCATGAGGTATTTATTTGGTTTTAGGTATTTCAACCTTTGTGATGCATAATATTGTCAAAGGTTTCAGGGAATCCAGAAAAAGCAAGCCCAAAAACTGAATGCCCGAGACCTTCAATTCTTTAGATGACAGTGCATTAAAAGTCAGCTTGCTCCTGTGAAGGATCACCACATGGAATCAGGTTTATTTTGACAAACTGTTGTCAGTAAACGCAGTTTGTCACTGCATCCACAAGTTTGAGTATGCAAAGCGGAACCCATATGTCAGCAATGTCCGGAAGTGCTGCTGACTGAAGCTCATCTGAAATCACCAATGCGCAGTGGAAACATGCACTGTGGTCTGTCGAGTCAGTCTAAGAGATTGTTTATGGAAATAATGGATGTCATGTTTTCCGGGTCACAGAAATAAAGGATTATTCAGATCGTTACCAGCAAAGTTCAGAAGCCAGAATCTGTCATGGTATTGGGGTGTATTAGTGTTGTCATTTGTGAAAGCGTCATTAACGCTGAAAGATATATACACGTTTTGGGGCAACATATGCTGCCTTCTAGATGCCCTTTTTTTCTGGGACGTCCATGCTTGTTTCACCATGATGGCGGAAAGAAATATTCTGCACGTGTTACAGCAGCATGGAGAAAGTGTGGGTGCTAGACTGGCCTCCTGTCTCCTATTGAAAAAGTGTGGCACCTTATGAAGTGCATAGTACAGCAACGATGGCCCAATACGGTTATGCAGCTGAATACTTGTACAGCTGAATAATGGCAAAAAATCTCTCCTTCAAAACTAGATCAATTGGTGATTAATCTTCAGTTCCCAAATGTTTATTAAGTGCTGTCAAAAGGAAAGGTGATGGAACACAGTGGTAAACATGATCCCGTCCCAGTGTTTTTGGAACGTAATGCGGGCATCATATTTGAGATCAGCATGAAAAACAAGGAAGTTCATAAATGAAACATCAAATATTGTGTTTTTGCACTATTTTCAATGTAATACAGGGCAAACAGAATTTACTAATCATTGCTTTTTGTTTTAATTTGCATTTCACATACTGTCCCAATTTGTTGGAATTGGGTTTGTAGAATTTTGTCCCTTTTGTGCAGCTCTACCAGGAATTAGTATAGTAAAACTGAATTGCTGAATTATCTTTCACTTCAAGGTTTAGGTTAACAGTGTCTTATTTGTAATTTGGTCTGATATCTTTTTTTTTCACAGAAGAGAAGAATGTCTTCCCCAGTGCTCTGCTGGAGCGGAACTGTTGAATCGGTGTGTTTTTAACTGTTGTTTATTCTAAACGTTTTTGGGATTTGAAAATAATTGTATATAATTTAGTAACACTTTATAATAATACTTTATAAGACATCTATTAGCTATTACTTCATAATAAACAAATCCATAACTAATCAGGTCTATAGTTATTCATTATTAATTAATGTATTCACATTGTTTTATAAAATAAATATGAAATAATGAGTTTTTACTGCATAATTAACAAGTCATGTACTAACAAGGAATTTAATCATTAGTTAAAAAGTCAGTCTACGTATGTTAACATATGTCTGTGTTTTTCACTTAATGAAAGTTAGAAACGCTATGTTGTATTTTCTATACATAAAGACATTATCTGTTACTTTATCATTAAATAATAATAAATCAGAAATTCAGATGTTATCCACTATTAGTGAATATATTATTTGAATATTTACAACAGAAAGTCCTTCCAGCTGATGCTATGTCTTTTGTAAACCCCAGTAAATAGAATGCTAAAACTTTAGGCCTCTGAATGAGTAGGTAAACATTAGATGTGAACTATCTGCAGCATTTTTGCAGGTCATAATTTTTAAATAAAGTTTTTATAAATATACATAAATGATTTAAAATATACACACCTACATATACATAAATTCTAACCTAGAAATGCCTAAAACAACATCAATAAATATCCCTTTACACTAGAATAAGAGATATTAGTTCATAAGCAATCTCGATAAACACTCCTATGCACTAGAATAGAAATATCGGTCCATAAACAATCTCGATAAATGCTCCTGAAGACTAGTATAGGAGAAAGTAGTCCATAAACAACCTCAATAAACACTTCTATCCATCCTGCCTTGAAGCCTCCATTGTGACAGACGACCAGACCACCATTAAAAATGTAGGCTAGAGTTGGTTTTATTAAACCTAGGACGAAAATAGGCACTGCAAACAAAATATAAAGCAAAGGACTACAGTCAAAGGCAAACTTCAACACAAGAACTACTTACACCAAAGTCAAGAATGGAAACCACCTGGGAAAGGATGGGTAAAAAACTGCTAACAGGTGGAAAGATTAAAGATAAAGTGTGGCTACTTGGAAGGAGACAGGAGGGGGTGGAGCCAGGAATGGGACCTGTGACATTGCTTTAGATTAGGGGCTGCAAAAATAACTCTTAAGTCATTTCTAAACCACAATGAAGTAATGGCTTGTACATGTCTTACAAAGTAATGTTAATAAATTAAACGTCTTTATAAACTGTGGTTTTTATTAGCATGTAGCACATGAGTTAGCTAGCGTAATAGCTAATTCAGCCGAAGCTTTAAAAGATGTTATCTGTAACTTGTTAAAAATTATTTTAAAAGATTAGTTGACATCTTCAGCTATTGTAGCTAGTGCGCTGGCTAGCATGCTTGCTATCGTTTCTGACTTTTTTTTTTTCTTTTCATGTAGATATGAAGAGACTTGGGTGACTCTGCACAAACGAGCAAGAGAATGCGCCAAAGCTGCAGAGGTGAGTAGATGATGTTGCCTAATTTATGGAATGGATGTGAAGGTCTACAGGACTACAGTAATACAGTAGAGTATTAGTGGCCAGTCTTTTGTAGTGCTGGGACAGTGAAGTCAAACGTCCTTGTATACTCAAGCAATTAGGTTTAAAGCAATATTTCTTCAGTAAAAGTTCAGAGCAAAAGAAGCAACTTGGACAACAAATATGTACAGACATGAACCAGATTAAGAGCACAAAAAAGTAAAAAATTGGAACGCAGTCACTTTAAAGTAGTTTTAAAAAATGTTAGCATTTGGTCACTTAAGCGAAGCCTTGGCTTCATTGTCTATAAACCACCCACAAACAGGCATCTTCCCAGAGTTTGTCTTGATGCTTTGCCAGGCCTTTTCTGCAGGTTTTACTGGCACTCTTTTGTTCAGTAAGTGTTTTATTGTAAGTAGATTGAGATTAACTTGGCAAGTCCACAACCGAGTCCTCAGTTAGCTTGGCAGTGAGGTTTGTGCTATTGTCTTGAGAAAAGCACACAAATAGGTTGCGTTCAGAATAAGTAAATGGTGTAAATTGATGATTGTTTTAGAGTTTAGAACTTTAATGATGTTATGCTATACTTGATCACTTGATTGATCCTGCGAGAGAAATTTGCCTAACCATCAGTGCTATGCTTCTCTGTCTGGGAGAAGCACAGCATCACCAGCAGCACTGTGTAGGGCAGTGAGGGTCTTAGACACAGTCAGTCCTGGAATTAGAACCAGCAACGTTCTGTGTGGTGGCTCACACCTTCTACTATAAGTGCTTTAATCATAGCGTTTACTTGAGCTGACATGAACTCCACAAGTTTATATATATATATATATATATAATGAAAATGAACCTTGAGAATATAGAATGAAATCTGACATGATCTGAATCATTTAAATATGACAAGTATGCAAAAATAGAACAAATACTTTTTCACAGCACTCTGTGTGACATTTCTTAAATGTTCCATGATTATATATGGTGCGGTTTCTCATAATACTGTGCAAGAGATATATATTTGTTGTGGATGTTGCCGAATGTAGATTTACTTCCTTCTACTTAAAAAAAAAAACAAAGAAAAAGGATTTTTTTTTTCCGGAGGCAAAGAAAAGTTGAATGTGAATTGAAATTTGTATATGGTAAAGATATTATGCGTAGATTTTTATAAACATCTGTTTTGCCTAATACCATCTCTCAGACCGTGGACGGGGAGGTGGTGATGCTGTCTGCCCACTGGGAGAGAAGAAGAGGAGCCCTTCTGGAGCTGCAGGAACAGCTACAGCAGATACCTGCCTTCCTCACAGACCTGGAGACCATCACTGCTCGAATTGGTGAGCCAGAACAGCTTGCATTGATGTGGTGATTTTGGTTAAACTGCATTGATTTTTTTTAATATTAATATCTCATGATAATTTGTAATAGTATTCTGTGAGTACGCGTCTTCTAGTGTAGCCTGTTGAGCTTTCATTATGTTTTTTTTTTTGTTGTTTTTGCTTTTGTGCTTCATTAATGTGACCTTAAGTTTTTTAGTGTTCTTCGCTTTAGTGTTCCAAATCGTTGGTGATTTAATAAAACCCAGAAAATTTTTCTCCCTTTTTTTTTTATTCACCCAGCCTGTCTTTAACACTGAATTTGCACACCTTCGAAAAAAAAGTCAGCCAGTAGAAAATCAAAGGGCAAGCTGTGAACTTTCTAGGAAAAAAATCATGGAGGAACTGCTACTCAGTTACCATAATGTTGCTCATAAATGCAAAAAAACAAAAACAAACTAGTTATATAGGTAGCTTTGGCTGTCAGGATTGGGTGGGACTGGTTTTTCAATACTTTCAAACTGCTTCCAAATATTACCACAGCATACAGTGTAGTAAGTGACATAAAAGCATTTATGGTGCCTTCATTGTTTGCTTACATGGTTACCAAATCATCATTCAATAAATGTCCAACCCTCTAACAATTGCTAATTTGGTCTGAATAGCTCTCAGCTGTTTATTATTAGAGTAAGATGAAGGCAAAAAAGGCTCAGATGCTTTTGCACCCCTATTGACACTAACTTCAGGTTAGGCACCGCTGCCACGTTAGTGCTGAAAAATCCCCACATGAAATGCAGTCCGGCTGTTCTCACCAAGATTGCATTGCCATGAATCTGATATGTATCTCATCTAGTACCACATATGTAAGTGGCTCAGATCTGATTTGAAAAGCATGTCCACACAGCTCTGATAACATCAGATCTGTGTCACTTTAAAGCAAAAACTTTGTGGATTTGTGCCACTTAAGACTGGTAATATGAACATAGCCAAAATGTGGCTTGTGAAAAGTTATGGCACATTTTATATTCTAGGTTTTTTCCATTATGTTAAACTTAGCAAGAAAAATAAAACGTGTGCACTAAAACTTGCAGACAAAGTATGCTGTAGAGGTTGTTAACTTATTTTCATTTAGTAAAAACATATCATTTCCAACTTTTGCATACAACTGTATGTTTGAAGAATAGAGCAAAGCCAAAATAATAGCTCTTGCAGAGTTAAAAAAAGTAAAACTATTGGTTATTGACATCATATCAGTCACAGCAAGGTGTTAATTATCGCTTATTGTTATTGGCCCAAATATTCCATACGGGTGCATCCCTAACGCTGTGACCCTTGCTTAAATCAATTGTGCTGCTTTTGCTTGGACAGTAGTCGGGCACCATCTTCAAGAGGCTTTGTGTAGATTCTCAGTTTTGAGATGTGTGAAGCATCAAGCATAATGCACATCTGTTCTTTCTAGCAGATGTATGGTGAACCTTGCTAACGTTTTGTGCTAAAAGAATTGTGCTATGGAGGAATAGTGTGTTCACCTTGAGCGACTTTGCAGAGCAGCTGCTCACTGACTCGCGCTGTCTCTGTTGCCGTGATATATGACAGTATTGAGAGGGAACCCCCTGTGGAGCTCCATCTGCTAGCGCTTGCAGCTAAGGAGCTTGACGCTCTCGCTCTCAAGCTTATCCTGTAGGTGTTCGTCAGGTTATCATTGGCAGTGCCACAGGAATCGAAGGCAGGTGACAGACTGCAGCCATTGAAGCTGTGGGTTGCAGTACGTACAAAGCATGTAATGCTGAATGAAATGATGAAACTGACAGGTCGTAACTTGATGTGCTGGAGTTACTGACCACTGATTAAAGGGGAGGTTTAAGGAGAACTTTTTACATTAAAATCAGGGGTTTAAACTAGGGCTGTGCAATATCACAATTATTGTTATCATGATAAATTCATTACACTTACAGCATTTGGCAGACGTTCTTATTCAGAGTGACTTACAATTTGATAATTTTTTATTTTTTTACACAGGTAGGCAACGGTAGTGTTAGGAGTCTTGCCCAAGGACTCTTATTGGTATAGTGTAGGGTGCTTGCCCAGGTGGCGGATTGAACCCCAGTCTACAGCGTAGAAGGCAGAGGTGTTACCCACTACACTAACCAACCATGAACAGTACCTATCACATAGTGTACTGTTCACTCTGTGACAGTATACCGACTGGCCACTTTTTTAAGTATACCTCTATATATCCACAGTCTTTGCCCATTTTATTAACTTCACTTGTTATCATACATCTCTGACTGATTTTAACTCAATGTCATCTTCATTGGACCGAAGTTGTAGCTGTGGTGAGTGGATGCATGCTTTATAGTAAAGGGTCCTGTTGGATGTGTTTATGTGAATCCTGATTTCTGGTTGTTATATACACAGGCTTGCTATGGTTTTGTATCAGGATGGAAGTGCTGAAATAGGTTGGGTGATGACTGCACTTAGGCCGTAGCCTTATGTAATGACGTTGCAGAGAATTAGCATGCTTGGAAATTGTATCTACGAAATTGGCCTACATACTTTTTCATTGCCCTACTCAAAATACAGGGCGATTCAAAAAGATTCATCCGATTTCAAAGCGCCATATTTTTACAACCGTGAGGCGCCTAGGAACCAATCACATACCAATTGAAAGAGGGGGTCATAGAGTTTCTGACTGTCACCGGAAGATGGCTCCCTTCAGTCTGCGAGGAGATGGTGACCCCTGAGCAGAAGGCGTTTTGCATTCTCCACTTCAATAAGAGTGAACCCGTCATAACTGTGCAACGTGATTTTCAGTGAATAGCAGTGAACTTCCAACAGCTCAGAGCATTCGTCGTTGGTTCCGCAACACTGGATGATCTCCAAAATCGCATTGAAAGATCCGTGACCTGCTCAATCAAGTATGGGATGAATTTGACTATGGCGTTGATGCTGTCCGTACAGCTGGAGGAGGTCATATTGAGCACTTGTAAAATTACATAATAAACTTCATGCTCACTTAAAACATTTACAGTTCACTGCATTGTTCTGTAAAGATTTACAAGTGAAATAAATCATTTTGAAATCGGATGAATCTTTTTGAATCACCCGGTATATTTCTGCCTGTGCCACTCACGTGACTGCTTTGGGCTAAAATGCAGAATGTTTTGAAATTTGGAAGTTTAAAAGATTAGCTTGTTGTTCAAATATTGCCACTGCAACAGCTGTAGGTATAGCACCCCCTTCTAATGTTTCAGAAGTCCTGTAGAATAAATCTGACCCTTTAGAACTCAATAATTTATGAACATCCCAATAATATAATAACAGCCAGAAATGTAATTAGATTTTGCACTTAGCTTGGTCAAAAATTATGCCCTCATTCCAGGCAGGGTTGATTCCTGTATACAGCATAAAATCATTGTAGAAGCTCTTCAAAGTATTACATCAACTATTTAGAAAACATATTTGAGTAAAAATGATCAGCTTACAAATATTATGCATTTCCAATAATGCAATAAGACATTGCATATGGTCAAACTGAAAATGTAATAAATTCCTAATTACATTATCGGTAAAAGTATTATTACTTTATCAGTTAAGGCTGGGCTTACACTACACGACTTTCAAAATCTCATCAGATTTCTAAAATGGAGAGCATCACAAATGTAACGTCAGTTTGTCACAAAATTTCTTATCTTTTTGTCGTGAGGGCGCTCAGACTAGACAAGGAAAAGAGAGAGTATAATGCATGTAACAGCTACAACCAAAAACTGAAACCTCCAGATCTCCTCAGAGATCACGTGACACAAACAAAGCTAAACGTACTGGTTCGGACTGGTTTTTGCTATGCACAAAGCACAAACAGGGGATTAAAAAAGGGTTGAGAAATGCTGATATCACAGTGGGAGCTGGAGAAATATTTACTGCAAACTAGCAGCTGAGCTGAAATTGTAAAGAGAGTGACCTGATGCCTGGATCCAAACATTATAAACATAAAAACAACTCTTATCTGCCTGTGTTTTACACGCTGAATGAACTTTTTTGTTGCTGAAGGGTGGAAAACAGTTTATGTTCACCAAAAGGCTTTTTCAGCTTTCTTAGATTCATGGTGGTGGCACTGAACTTTAGCATTTGTGCTGCTGTCTAGCACTGCAGTCTAGAAATGAGTGCCTTGAATTCCAGAGATCACGTGAAATTCTTTGAGATCCAGGCAACAGTAGATAACTGTGAAATCTGTCAGTATCTTATGAGAAATAACTTGAAGACAAGATCATATGCTTTTTGGAGGTCACTGTTGTATGTAAAAGTTTGAGTGACACTGGTTAAATGACATGCTGTGTTGAATTTTTAGATGAAAAAAATCAGCAAATAAATAGAAATTTTTTTTTATTTAATATTTAAAATGCCACATTTAACTGAGCTTTTTACTGTAGAGGATGTGGTAACTTATTTTCACTTAGAAAATTGACAAAATGTAATTTGACTGGGAGTGTTTAAACTTTTGCATCTGACAATCTTATCTATAACACCAACACTGGCTGGTATTATGTAATTGAAACGGTTCTTTAATTGGTAACGTGTGAGCTTGGTTTCCCTAAGCCAGAAGTGTCAACCTGCAGACCTGCAGGGTAGCAGCACCACAAAGTTAATGATTTTTCTGATTCATCACATCTGGTTAAGCTAATAAGCTTTGGTCTGGTGTGCTGGAGCAGGACCAATACTGAACTCTGCAGTGCTGCGACCTGAGTTAAATACTTCTGACCAAATATCAGCACCGCTCATTTGTCATGCCATCATGATACAGTGTTGAAATCTGTGTCTAAACCAGCTGTATTAGGCTCACACCTTGGGCAAGTCTGGCTGTATTTATGAAATTTCAGAAATTTAATACCTGTTTTTTAAAAGTTCTGCATAATTCAGTCGTTTAGATAGAAACAGTAATTCAGCATGGTTTGATGTGAAACCACAAATTTACTAACTTGGATTTCTTTACAGTGGTGGTGATAGAAACCAGGGGGCACTATGTCTACAAAACAAACAGCCATTTTATTTACTATCAAAAACCACCAGTAAACCTAAATGTGTTTTCTGAGTTTGTATATGTGATGTTGATAATTGTAAAATAGTGGTAAATCTGAAAAATAAGTTTTCTTTGGAGACTATTTTGCCTTACAGTGCTCTGCATGTACCTCTCCACCAATAATGGATTTTTAGAAAAAAAAATTATTTCAGGCTGAGACCTTATCATAAACCATGTCTCAGGCATCAGGCAGTGTATTCATGACCATTTCATGCAAAAGCTCTCTGTGAAGGATCTTTTAGAGGCATTAAACTCTTCAGGCATGTGGTTCCTATCAACTCCACTGTGAACAATTCTGACTTGGTATGTTTTTCCAGTAGGAGAATTTCACATCAAACCTCTCTAAATGACTTATTTAACTATGCTAACTTCTGATCAGTAGAAAGCCCTAAATGAGTCATTCCACTACTTATTTTTTCTTAAGTTTTATGTGTTTTGCAAAATTAAGCTGTTTTATATTACATTTATATGTGTAATGTTAATATATGAACAGATATGTAAAATATAGTGGTAATTTTGAGCATAACTTAAAAACTAGCAAACAGTAGACTAGCAGACACAGATTTGAACAGTTGTACACATATAAAACCCCAATATTTTTCATTAAAACACAAAAAGGTTTTCTTAACTGCAAAAAGTATGTTTCACTCGTGACAGTTCTTAAGACTACACACTGATAATTCAACCGTTGAGATAAAAACAGATGAAAACAGTCATTCATTCGATGGGAAATGGTGTATTATAGTGAAACTTACCAACTTACCAACTACCAATCTATACAAAACAATCAGTGAATCTACATGAGTTTTATATGTAATGTTGATATATAAAATAGTTCGAAATCTGAAAAAAACAAGTTTTTCCTTTGGAACTATTGCTTTACAATGCCATGAATGTACCTTTCTACCGTAAATGGCTTTAAAAATATACTTATGTAAAGCATTATTTGAAACTATTGTAAAACAATGTCTCATGTATCACACAACATATGTATAAGCACTTTGGGTAATAGCTTTATGTGAGGGAGCTTTTAGAGGCATTAAACATTTAAGATGTCTGGTTCCTATCACGACTGCTGTGAACAATTCTGACTCAGTCAGTTTCTCTAGAGTGAATTTCTTATCAAACTACTCTGAATGACTTAATGTTTACACATTATGCAACATTTGAAAAATTGTTAGAATTCCTATTTAATCGTATTTCATACACTGTGTTAATGATGAACTTTCATTTAATGTATTTAAGCTTGAAAGTCTTTCATTAGCGGAATGCAAATACATTGCATTGAGTGTTGTGGAGTCATGGAATGACCTGAACACTTTTCTACAACTGCCACTTGGTGGCAGTGGGTGGCTTTGTGCACTCTTAAAGTGACTCTCAATGAAACAATGAAAAATGTAGCAGACTCTTAATTTTTATTAGTAATTTGGATTGACAGATGTTGATATACAAGGCTCCTTTGTGCTTATTCAATTTCAATATGCACAACAGACAGTTTTTGATGTCCTCTATGCAAGGAAAACCCAGCCTTCTGTTTTTTTTTTTTTTGAATGCATAAAAGTCCTATCACCTTCCTCTGCTTCCCACAGCTCAGCTGGAGGCGGATTTTGAAGAGATGGAGAGTCATCTGATGTACTTGGAGAACCTGTGCGGTCAGTGTGAGCAACAACGCTTCAAACACTATCAGATCCTACAGCTGGAGAACTACAAGAAGAAGAAGAGGTGATCACCGCTGAACATCTCTAACATCATTACTTTTCATTTCTGCAAATTCTTAGTTTTTATTGGCTGTGGTTAAAAAAGACGAGCATTTAAGTTCTCCTCAGATATTAAGAGTTCTTTTGAAATAATTAAGGTTCTTACTGTTATAAAGCATTATGCAGATTAGAGCACTTTGTAAAAATGTAATGATGCATCAGTCTGCAGGTGGCGATCCACCTGTGAGTTTGGAATGTAAGTGATTTGTAATTGATCACAGTTAGAGCTGTCAGTCAATTAGAACAATTAAGATTTTCTTCCATTGAAAAAGCAGTGCCTTGTGTTGTAGCTATGTGAGTGAACAAAATAAGCTTCACAAGGATGTATTTATTAGTTTTGGTAATTCAAATAACATTATTTTCATCATGTCAATGTTGGACGTGGGCACATTTTATATTTAATTTTATATTTATTTCATATTCAATATGTTGAACTCTGCAAATGAATAGATGTTGTGTGCTAAGATTTGCAGAAAAATACCATGTTTAAGTTTGTTCCCTGTAGAGGATGTGTTAACTTACACTATATGGCCAAAAGTGTGTGGACACCTGACCCTCATACCTATATGAACTTGTTGGACATCCCATTTTAAAACCATAGGCAAAAAATTTTGCTTTTAAAGTCAACACTGGTGTTCACTCTGTAGCTTGTTCCTCAGAGGGCTCACTAATACACTTCGCTTGAGCTGTTAAAGGCTATTAAAGTAATAGAGCAGCCCTTACGATAAATTTGGAGACTCCCCAGAGGGGAAAATGACAAGACTTACGTGGACGAGGGCTTGTTAAAACTGGTACTGAAACTAAAGAGGCACCAATACTACTTTTTCCCCTTCTAATACTGATACCAATACCTGATCCTTGAGTATCGGCTGATACCAAATACCAATACTACTAACTCTGTCTAACCTATCTACTAACTACCACAAGTCCTGATATTTGTGCAGTTAATTTTTTTTTTATTTTGGTGAAAGAGTATTCTGTATCAATAATAAAACATATCAAGACATATCAAGCTCAAATTAATGGTCAGGTCAGTTATGTCCTATTGAATTCAGATTTTATCCATAACAAAGTGTTTTTTTTTACTTTGTAGTTTTTATTTTTATTCAGAAGCATAAAAAACACTTTCTGTCAGGTTTCGTCCAGGTGTGTTTTGAATTTCGGTGTTTGCCTAGAATTCCCATTTCAGTGCATCGCTGGTAAAAATCTTTGTTGGTTACACTCTACTAATCAAATAGGAAGGCTTATCACCTGATGCTCTGTTAAATCCCTGTTTCTAAATCAATGCCTTGTGTAATGCTTTCTTCTTCCTTCATTTCTAATCAGCTTTGTTTTAACCCCATGTTGGCTCATTTTAAGAGGTGACACTGTAGATGAAATGGAATGAAGTAATAGCTATTAGGAAGTAAATGCAAGCTGCTGCAGCATCAAAGGCCTATCCCATGAAGTACAGAACACCCTGAGCTCCTCTTTAATCAGGCTCTGAAGCCTCTTCTCACAATCGTTACATACTCTATCAAGACAACACCTCCTTTATTATTTATTTAATAATTTATTTAGGATCACCTTTTTGGCCCATTGTTGCTTTTTTTTGCATTGTTAATTTTATATACGCTATATAGCCAAAAGTATGCGGACACAGGACCATCACCTGACTATATGAGCTTATTTGACATCCCATTCCAAAACCCTGGGCAGTAATATAGAGTTTGCTCCCCCACTTTGCGACTGTAAGAGTCTCCACACTTCTGAAAGGCTTTCTACAAGATTTTGGAGTGTGTTTGTGGGAATTTGTCTCTATTCTGTCCAAAGAGCACTTGCTATCAAAACAGCCCCAGACCATTATCCCTCCTCCACCAACTTTACTGTTGGCACTACGCATTCTGGTAGGAACTTTTTCCTGTCATCTGCCAAATCCAGTTTCATCCATCAGACTGCGAGATAGTGAAGCGTGATTCATCACTCCAGAGAACACGTTTCTACTGCTCCGGAGTCCAGTGGTGCTGCTGCTCGGCCATGGAAACCCATTTCATGAAACTCGCCATGCCCAGTTGTCGTGCTGATGTTGCTTTCAGAGGCAATATGGAATTCTGTAGCAAGTGATGCAACAGACAATAGGCAGTTTTTACACGCTTCAACACTCCCCTGCTCTCTCACTTTGCGTGGTCTGCAGCTTGGTGACTAAGCTGTTGTTGCTTCCATTTCACAGTAATAGGCCAGGTCTACCAGAGCAGAAGTTTCACAAATTGACTTGTGACAAAGGTGGCTTCCTATCCGATGCCGCATTTAGTCACTGAGCTCTTTAGTACGTCCCATTCTACTGCCAGTGTTTGTCTTTGTAGATGCTTGTGAGTGTCACATACTTTTGGCCATATAGTGTATTTTAGTAGTGTAAATTCAATTCCGTTACTACTTGACTTTAAAATCATTAGTACATTATAAAATCACAACAGAAGTACCACAGTTTGATTATTTTTGATAGGATTCAGAATTGATTGAAGATCAAGTGTATGCTAAACACCCTGGACAAATTTGGTTTGTTTTCTTGATTTTGAAAATAAATTAACACATCCTCTAAAGAGAACGAGAAGTGCGAAATTTTCTGCACATTTTAAATGAAGGGCTTTCTCTGACTTTGTGCGATATGTTAAAATGGCAAATATTACTGGTTATCAGAATTTTTAGCCAGTACAAGTTGTTATCATTTGGGCCCTGCAGTTGAATCCAGCTTCAAATCAGTCTATTTTATTCCTGTATTATTTGTCATAATGAAATTGTTGGCAGTTCTACAATTCTAACACTGCAGCTGCAGTATACATTGCAAAGTGTGCAACTTTACAGCCAGTAATATTTTCTCTGGCCTAAAATAAATTTGCTGGAACACTTTTGCCCTTTTTCTGCATGAAACTTGACCAGCCTGTGCCCAGAAACAATACACTGTATATAGTACATGTATAATGTGGCGTAATGCACTGTTTGTTGCTCATCTCCTATATGATGGCATCTGTTATGTCTTCCAATGTGTAATGCCCTACAGAGCCTGCAGCGAAATCATGCATCTCTAGCTTTAGCCAGTGAGTTGGAAAGCAGCTGGGCTCGACTCCCACAGCTCAGCTCCTTCTGTCTGTGTGGAGATTCGTTCATTAGCGTAGAGGCATATGCATGTAATGGGCAGCAGCATCCTTAAAAACAAAAAAACATGTTACTGTGTGTGAAATATCAATTGTGTACTGCATTCATGTGTGCAATACAGTTGACTGACTGCTGTTGCCTGTTGGGTGACGTACAAGTGCCATGTTCCAACCCTCATTATTTTCTTTTTATTTTCTTCTAGGAAAGAACTTGAATCTATTAAAGGTAAGACACTAGACACTTTTTTTGATTTCAGAGCTAATTGTTATGTTAAACATGCTGTCATCTTGTGTTGGCAGATAGAATGGTAAAAAGCAGACTGATGAAGTGGTGGCAATCAGATTTTTCACGTGGTGCTGTAACTGATTTAGTCATGCCCATAATCAGGCTACACAATGAAACTCTAAAACACACAAGCTAGAGATGTAATGGTTGGAAAAAACTGTGTTGTTTAAACCATGGGACCTTTTTTAGCGACGCGCTCCCAAAGATGCCTGTAGTTGCCGAGTGAAGCAGTTTGGCTTGCTGTAATGAAAAATGCAGATTTTGAAGGTACCTGAATACAATCTAAAACAATCTAAAAATACAAAAGCCACCTTAACACAAGCACACATAGGATTTTACTTCAACTCAGCTTTTTTAATGAATTAAAAGAATTCATTTATTTTAATGTTCAGTTCTTTTATTTTTATTTTTAGCAGCTGCAGTTAACACTTGGAAGAAGAAGCCCGCATTTTTTGGGGTGTTTGCATGGCTGATTGTAGATATTACAAATTCGGAACAGTTGAGCTACAGACACAATACACATCACAGCAATCAGTAGAGCAGGTCCTCTCTAGCCAGAGTGGGGCCATCAAGGTGTAATAAAGTATCAGTGAGTAGTTGGGCTTGAAAAATCACCCAAAAGCCATCCCATAACCACATATTAGTTTTCTGCTTTTTAACTTCATAGCTCACCAAAGGGTTGCCTTACACATATCACAGCAATTAGGAGAATCTGTAACCTGATATTATTTCTCTGCTTTTAAGCTTCATAACTCAAGAAAGGTTAACATAAATACATATCACAGCAATCACACCCTCTCTACTCAGTAATCAGCAAGGTGCAGAAAAGTTTGGGCAAGGAATCCAACTCGAAGTAATGTATAATGAAATTAAAAAGTATAGCCAATAGAATAAACCACCATCAGAATTCTTGTGTTTTCAGCTCACATACACTCTAGTCTTAGCAGTTTATGTAAAGATATCTGGGCTGACAGCTGTTCTGTACATGCAAAATTGTAAAACATTCAGGAGGTGCTGAATACATTTTTTTCAAATAAAAAAAAGCCAAATTCACAAAGATATCGAAATTCTCTTAGCATATACATGTCAAATAATGACATATCTGAGTAGCCTAGGGCCTTGTAAAAGACTTTGACTGTGTGACTGTGTGGACTTAGTATTTTCATTGTAATTGACCAAAATGCCAAGTTTGTAGTTGTTAAACAGTCCTGAAATATGGGGATGCTGCAGACACCTCTGCACCCCCGCTTCTCATGTCCATGGTAATACGTTATCACATGGTGTTTAAAATGTATGATATTTCAAAATTGATATAGTGTCAAGTTTCTGATACACATCTGTCTCATAACTGCAAAATAAATACATTCTAAGCATGATTTTCAGTTGATATAAACAAGGGATAAATTAGCAGTTGTCTTGGTGCTGATGTCAGAAAGACCAGCGATGAATGTTGTTGAGGGTTGCTGATGAATTGTGCATCAGTAGATGTTCTACAGGCTGTAATTTTGTATACCTATATGGTAAACCTTAAAAGTAGGTGGAGCTCATAAAGTAGCCTGTCAGTGGAAGAAGAAGAAAGGTGTTTCTGATGTTGTTCCTAACAACTGACTTTATTTTAGACATGAAGGCACTGTTGTGTTTTTTGTGAACATCGATTTTCACAATTTTTGATTGAAATTTAAAGACGGAAAGCATTTTAAAATTCGCAAAATGACACGGATATTAATGATGTTTTAGAAAGAAACTGTATGTATTTGCCCTCTATGTGCATTGCGGATTTTGCGATTTGTCATTTGCCTCCCGGACCTCATTTAGTGCTCAACAATGAGGAGAGCTGTTTGGTAATTACCAAGCAGACACTAATTAACCTCAGCCAGTGAGAAAAGCGCCAGCAAGTGGACGAAGCTCGGTTGATCTGGTCTCTGTAGGACTGTCAATATCACACTGACCTCCAAAGGGAAGCGGCATGCTGTGTAAGCCTTTGATTTATGCTTCATTCAAGTTTTGATATTTCATAAAGTTTTATGGCCAGTGGAATAAATAAATATTATAATAATATAAGTTGCCTCGCTAGATGCATTAATGTATATGGATCATTCTACTGGATTGGTTTGAAGTCAGAGTTAACACATTTCAGATTTTTAATTGAATTGGAGCTGAACTCCTTTTGCTTTGAATGACCTTGAACCCTAATTATATTTATTTCATTAAAATAAATGGTTGAACAAGCCATTTTGTCGCTTCCAAAACAATCTTAACACTAAACGTACCAAATTTTTCAGTAGCACAGTAATTTAATGAACATTATCATTAGAAATATCAGGTTTTATTTAGCACCTTGGCTGCTTTGGGCCAGTTTACGACAGAATTTTGTTGGGCTCAGGTAGGGTTCGGACTCAAAACGCGATGCTGTGTGTATGTTCTCCTGATGAAGATGTTGATATAATAAATTATTGTTAAAATAGTGTGCCTCTATTTGGAGACTGCGAGTTTGATCCCTGGTGTTGCAGCAGCTGTCTGTGGCTGTGAAACTAAGAGAGCACAGTTGGCCTCGTTGCAATGCTAGCCAATGTGGGCGTCTGTTATCTGTTAGCTACCATATCAGAATTAGCAGTTAGCATTCTCCTCTATGCACGTTAAAGTGCCTAATGATGTTGTGTTAGCAACACTTTGAAAAGATGTGTTGGCTGGCTCTGAGACTCCCAAGAAACTCATGCTAGCCTCCACTCTAACGGATTGGTAGCAACCTAGCTAGCAGGGTGGAATTGGCAATGACCAAATTGGTGAGAAAATAGCCTACTTCTGTCAACCTTTTTTATTTTTCTGGGTAAACAGAAATCTAACCAAGCTCTTCTTTATAGCAAACAAAATGTAAATTTTTGTGCACTGTGTCACAGTGTCACTGATGAGAACTGCTAAGCATTGAATGTTATTTGAATGCTAATGGCACCCCCTTTGTGGAGAATTTGTAGCCTCCAAAACATGAGTAAGTTCCATGGGGAGCTTCAGTCCAAAAACAAGTCATTAATACCTGAACAGTTTTTTCTAGGCTATAAACACAAATCAATATGTATATTTTTATTTACAATAAAGGCCTTAAAAAATAAGTAAATGTATATTTAATTGCTTAAAAAGCTCCTTATGATTATGCAAGTTTGTTGTAACAGTAGCCAGTACTGCTTCATACACTTTAGCATACAGTCTATGCATTTTACACAGCACTGAGAGTGAGAATAGTCATCACATTTATACATGCTTGTATTTCTAGTATTGACTTCTTCTTTGTGCAAGAGAGCAGGGTTCAGGCCCAGAGAAGCACTTTTTGGGTTTCTAATGCTACATTCCTGCAAATCTTAATTAGTCACTAAGGGGCTGTGAATTTATCCTTGACATAATTATTTTTGCAACTTTAATATGTGGAACTTGATTTATTTTATTTTGTTACTCTGCTTTTTATGTGCTTATGAACACATCATTTATTGTTATATATTTGTAAGTACAAAGGCAAAAGACATTTTGTGTAAATATGCATTGGAAGTGTATTAAATAAGAGAAAAGTGGCTGGAAACGTGTTTCCTCTCACTGTAGTGCATAAAACCTTAGCTTTTTCTGCTGAAGATGGAACTGAGAAGTTCATCAGGATAAGGTGCTAGGTTATGTGTCAAATTAAGCACATGTTATTTTGAAATGTATTCATGGTTGCTGTCTGCCTCCTCTCCTCCCCCATCAGTGATCTAAATGGTACATTCCAAGCTTGCATCTCCTCGCTACAGCTGTGCCTTTAGCACTGTATCCCTGAGCAGGCAATGCCTCCGCAACGGACAGCGTAGAGAAGAGAAACGCTGCCTGCGTCTGTGTGTTCTGCAGCCTAACTGTATAGGAGCTTTAAACGTGGGGAAACATGCAGGCTTAACTGTACCTTTGCCAAATCCAAGCCCGCAGTCCCTGATTTGTTGACTCCGCTCTCCGCTCATCTTCATCAGAGAGAGAGAAGCATGTCCTCGCCCGGAACGCTGGACGGCAGTAAGGAAAATTTGTGTAGGTGTTTCTCAGACCTTGTTTGCTTGTTCTGCTGTGGATGCGGTTCAGCTACCATGGTGATCAAGACTGCAGCTAATGAGGAGTCACGCAGCAATCTGGCAGCATTGCTTTTGATTATTGTAGATTTTTGGTTACTGGAATTTTGAATCACATGCACTTGTTGTTCGTGAGGTGGGTCCTTTGAGCTTTGTTGAAACTGAAAGTTTAGTTTTGGATCTTCAATTGCACCGTAACTCAGTTGAGGAGCCTTGGATGGTGACCATCTCTGAATTTTTGGCCTTTTGAAGGAGGAAATATATTGACAGCTTTGCAGCTGCTATATATTTTTTTCAAATGCGCTTATAAGGTTTTAACATAGATTTGCCTTAATTGTTCCCTGACTGTTGTTATTCCTCAACCACAAGGAGATGCTGAAGTGCTTCTGAGAAGATCAGGTCTGGCTGGTGTCCGCCAGTTTGTATACTGGAAAGGCTTTTAGATACATACGCCATAGTGTCTGAATTTACTATTCTGATGTCTCTTTTCTTTTAGGGACTGACTAATATAAAATTTTTCCCTTAATACCAATTGTAAGGATCCAAAACTTTCGGTAACCAATAATATCGGCCAATACTATTTAATATAGGTAAACAGGACCTTAGGGACTGATATAATTGTCAAATATGATTCCGTTCTCAGTTGTCCAAACAAACAGCAAAAAAACAAAAACATCATCTTTTTCTGTAGCTTTGAAGGTTGAGTTTTTTGTTTTAACTCTGATGTTGTTTTGTGGTCTGGTCTATCAGTTTAGCCTGTATTGTTATAATAAAACTTGGTAGGCTTGACTCACTGGTCTAAGAGCACAGAACCATTGAAATTCTTAAAAATTAATGATTCTTCTTATTAAGCAAGACAGTTGT